TCAAATTACTGTGTTATAAAGTCACTTGAAAAAAAAAAAAGAATTAATTCTTTTCTGTGTGGTTATATCTACCCAGTCAATACTAGCTAGGTTTGTTTGTTTTATTTTGCTTCTGAACTTTAGAGATTCAACAATTTAAAAAATTTATTTCCACTTTAAAGTATGTTAAACATTTATGATTTTCAGTTCAAGATATATTCAGAGAATTCTAGTTTTTTTTTTTTTTTTTTTTCTCAAGATTTATTTGACAGAGAGAGACCTAATGAGGGAGGGAATACACGCAGCGGGGGTAGGAGAGGGAGAAGCGGACTTCCCGCGGAGCAAAGAGCATAACGTGGGGCTCCCGTTGAGCAGGGAGCCCGATAGTGGCTCAATCCCAGGACCCTGGGATCATGACCTGAGCTGAAGGCAGACGCTTAACTGACGGAGCCACACAGGCGCCCCTAAACATACTTTTTCCTATGTTACTTTTTTCACCTAATGTATCCTGAAGATCACTCCATGGCAACATATAGAGATCGTCCTCACTCTGATTTTGTTTGTTTTACAGTTGTATATAATTCCACTCTGTGGATGTCCTCTAGTTTATACAACAAATCCCATATTATGGATATTTGGCTTGTTCCCTCAAAGAATGATGCCATGAAATGGGGAGAATTTGAATTTCTATGTCAAATTCTCTTCCTTGGTGTTATATCATCTTGTATCTCCTCCAGCAATGTATATGACTGCCTATTTCTCCTCCAGCCTTGCCTGGAATAAATTGGCAAACTTTGGCTTTTTGCCAGTCTGATGGGAGTGGTCCCCACTGCATTTTTTATTTTTCGCTTCTGTTGCTATGGGTTAGTTTTAGTATGTTCTCATATGTTAAGGGCCATTTGCATTTTGTGTGTGTTTGCTCATATCTCTAGACCATTGTTTTATATAAGGTTTATTAGTTTTTTCTTCAGTATTTTTAAAAAGATTTTATTTATTTATTTGACAGGGAGAGGTCACAAGTAGGCAGAGAGGCAGGCAGAGAGAGAGGGAAGCAGGCTCCCCGCTGAGCAGACAGCCTGATGAGAGGTTTGATCCCAGGACCCTGGGATCATGACCTGAGCTAAAGGCAAAGCCTTTAACCCACTGAGCCACCCAGGTGCCCCTAGTTTTTTCTTCAGTATTTTTACAAACCTTTAATTATCAAGTTTATTAACCTGTTGTGATATAAATTACAAAGATTTCCTCAGTTTGTCATTTGTAGTTTTATTTTTCTTATGGTGATTTTGTCATGGAAAAGTTTACTTTTATGTAGTCAATCCTATTAGTCTTTTTCCCTAATTGCTTTTGAATTTTTAAGTAATTATTGATAGCAATTTAGCAGCAAAATTTTTTCCTCTCTTATATTACAGAGAAATTCATCCATGTTTCCTTCTAGTATTTGTATGGTTTCATTAAAAAATAATTTAAATCTTCGGTCAATTTGGAATTTACCCTGGTGTATGTTGCAAGGAACAGATCTAATTTTATCTTTTTCCATCTTTATCTCAACATAGTCTACCTTATAAAAAGTCTACCTTCTCCCTAGTGATCTCAGATACCACTTATATCAAATGCTGATACGTTTTCTATCAGAAAAAAATCAAAAGTAAGACTAATAATTACCTATGAAGAATGCTGGCAAGGGAAATCTTGCATCGTGTGAGAGACTGGGCTAGAGGACTTTTTCTTCCCTTTTGGAGAGACTACGTTCTGATAGATGTATCATTTGGATAATTCGCCTTTAGTTTGCGTAAATGGAAATGGGTATGGTGCTTTAAATTTTTTCAAATAGTTTTGTCTAATTCTTATTAGTTAGAGACTAGTAAGCTGAGACCATTAATCTGAATCACAAATTTCTTTAATTATCATGAACAGTAACAATGACTCAAATGTTTTTGTAATGGGGCATTTCTGAGATCTAAAATTAAATAAATGACTAAAGTCTTTTTAATCATGAATTTGTAAAATTAATAATAACAAAATTAGATTAATGCTCATTAGAATTCACCTCTTACCCTAAAAGATTTCTCTTAATAGCTTTTTAGAGGCACATAAGTTTCAAATTGTGCAACAGATATTCACAATGTGAAAAGACCAGCAACATTCAGGAATTTGGCAGAGATTCTAGGCTCTGCCAGGGTTCAGCAAAGAAGATGGCGGAGCTGTGCAGTGTGTATGGGAGTTGCTTGAATTAAAAACTTGTGGGAGGGGGCGCCTGGGTGGCTCAGTGGGTTAAGCCTCTGCCTTCAGCTCAGGTCATGGTCTCAGGGTCCTGGGATTGAGCTCCGCATCAGGCTCTCTGCTCAGCAGGGAGCCTGCTTCCCCCTCTCTCTCTGCCTGCCTCTCTGCCTACTTGTGATCTCTCTATCAAATAAAAAAATAAAATCTTTTTAAAAAAAGTTAAAAAAAACTTGTGGAAGGTTTCCTTCTTCTGGAAAATGATTTCAAATCAAATGCTTACTTACTTGTAGTTATTTCTTGTCACCTTTACCACTCTGTTGGAATACTGCAGTCAAAAGTAATGATGGAAACAGCTTATACAAAGTGGTTGTTCTAGTCAAAAAGGGTTTTTTTAATAGAAATGTATAGCTGTAATAATTCTCATTTGACTACTGGATCAGGTCTTGATAGTTACGAACCTTCAAGAATGGGAATTTGGACATTTTATTTCTGGAAATGAAGAAACTGCTTTGGCTCTCAGCCAAAGAGTCACTGTGAGTATGAATCTGGGCAGGGCAGGACCTTGGGAGAATAGAGAAAGGATATAAATCACCTTCCCAAGCTGGAATTTCATTTTTTATTTTTTAAGTAGGCTCCACATCCAGTGTAGAACCCAATGTGGGGTGTGAGTTCATGACCTCAAGATCAAGACTTGAGCCAAAATCAAGAGTCAGATGCTTAACTGACTGAGCCACCCAAGCACCTCTGGAATTTCACTTTAAAAGTAGTGTTTCTCTGTGACTTTTTGCAGGCTAGTTTCATATACCCCAACAAATACCAATCTATTTAAGGAGCACGGAATTATTATTATTTTTTTTAACAATACTTATAATACTTTCAAGTGAGAAGAGTCACCATGTAAAGAAAACCACAAACTTTCCTCCCAGGAGGACGAGACAGTCAACTGCCTGGCATGCACTGAAACAGCCTGTTGGAAAATCGAGAGCTGGACTGGATGACCTCTTGAGGTTTCCTTCCACCCAGTGTGTCCATGAAGAATACAATGAAGAAGGTCTGTGTAACCAACTGGTAATTTTCAATAATGTGAAATAACTTGATTTATGAGATCTTGTCATAAAGGCACATGTTTTCAATAGCAAGAACGGTTATTTGAAGCTACCTGCCTTCTAAAAACTTTCTATGGAATGAGGACTTAAGCCAGTTCACCATAACCAAATACTTAGTCTCTTACTTAAAAAAAAAAAAAGCCTATTTAAAAAAAGCTTACTCTCTCGTTTCTCTAGAAGATTTTCAAAGTATGCTGCTGCAAAAGCTGGTATATTTTCTGGTTGCTCCCTCAGAATCTCACGTGTCAGCCCTTCAAGAAGATTTCCAAATCCTTGTGGAATTCGGTAGTGGGTGTTGGAGAATGGAATCGACATCTCCTTGGAAGGAACTGCCTATTGTACCTAGAGATTCATTAGAGAGTACTGTCTTTAAATTTGTCTGATTTTACTTATATAATCACAATTATGACAACAAATTATTCCTGAGCTCCCAATTTTCTGGACTTCAGTTTTTTCCCCCCAACACAACTCCAATCCATCACTTCTTCGAGTTTTGAACTCTCCATCATTAATTAGAATATTACAAAAACAGACTCATTTACTAGGCCAAGTCATCTTAAATTACAAAAATTACAGATTTTTCATAACGTTAAGTACTTTTTCTCTCTGTCCCTTTTGTCTTTAAAAGGTGAGGGTAATTTCTGCTATCCCACAGGAACTTAGAGAGAAGCATTGTTAAAAATTCATCATAAATCGCTGTTTGGGGTCTAAAATTTTTAAAAAAATTGAATTAAGAACTAACCTTGGTTCTAGAAATTATTCTAATTCGTTGAATGAAGAAGTTTAACACTTAAGGTCTTGCCCTTTGTTTCCACTTCTGAAGCATGACCTAAAATGCCCCAAAGCACCTACATACTCTGAAAGGGGCAGCAGGGTCAGAGGGGGGCGGAGGCAAGGTCACGATTTTGCAGTTGGAAGGTCCATGATTTTGGGATTCTTGTGTTTTCTGGTTTTGTCTTGACCAGGTCTTATCTTCCTGTCTTGGAATACAAGGACTGGATTAAGGACAGCTGCCAAGCAGCGGGTTGGGCTGCTGAGTATGCAAACGACACTCATGGACCCGGACTTTTTGTGAAGGTGCCCATTTTTTGGCAAGTCCGCAAGCCGTAGTAGGGGTCTAGGTGAGGGACTAGAAGGTTTGATGAGGCCCAAAGTGCGGAGGATGTTTTTCTGTTTTTGAGGGAACAGGAGATGCACTGAATCATTGTCGGGTTGTGAGAAGGACAGGTAACCCCCTGAGCCACTGTGGGGAGTGGAGGGCGGCTGGAGGGGGGACACGGGTCTAGTCGGCGGCGGGACGTCGAGGATCTGGGATTTCAGACTCTCGCAGAACGGGCTGCCTTGGCGCCCAATCTGCCTTCGCGATCCCGGAATGTGTCTGGGATCTGAGAGAATGCGAGAGGCGAAAGGAAAAGGCGAGGTGTCGGATTTGGAGAGGAAGTGGGGTAAACCGCCTCACCTCTTCGTTCTCTCAGAGCTGGTGCCGATGGTTCCGGTTGTTACTTCTCGTTGCTGGGTAACCGTTTTTTTCTTTTTTTAATTCAACTACGGCGGCCGGGAAGGGGTGAGGCATGGCCGCCCCCGGCGGCCAGGGGCCGGCTTCGCGACAGAACAGCCCGGGAGGGGTGGAGTCAGGCCTCCCCGCTCCGCGCAGGCCCCGCCCACGACTCCGGCACCACCCCCACCTCCCCCACCGCCGCCCTTGAAGTCGGTGTCCAGAGTCCCGCACCCGGGTGGCGGATCTTCCCCAACATGGTAGCGCCGGGATTTGTGTTTGGGCTGGTGCTGCCTTTAATCCTGCCGGCCGACACGAGTGCAGGTGAGGCGGCCCGGCTCGGCCCGACCCCTGCCCGTCCGCCTACGCGGGCTCCCGAGATGCAGCGTCCTCTGCACGACCCGCGAACCGCGACCCTGGAGCCGGCCTCGGGATCCAGGCCTAGGCCGCAGTATCTGCTGTCGGTCCGCTTCCTCCACACCCTTGCACGGTCCTGATGACTGGTGTGGCGCCGAGGCACATGTGGACGTATCTTAAGGGGGAGGCCCAAAGGTCCCTGACCGAGGCCCTCGGGGTCTTTGAATAACCGCAGGGGAAGTCGAAGGGGGGTGGCGAAGCTCATTAGATAATATTTGGAAACAGGTGACTGAGTCATCCCCAACATTTCCCTGCTGCCCCCTCAGTAGTACCCTTGGGGAGGGTTTGCTTCAAGCCTGGTTCCTTAGGGGAATTATATTTGACTAGTTTAAGTGGTGATTAGGATTAGGAAATACAACCCCCTCACTAGCTAAGAATATTTAAGGCTTAGCTTGGTTTCTGGCGCAGGTTGCGGATTTTGGTGGTGGGATAATAGGCACAACAGCATCGGGGAGGAGGGCGACTCACTTTGACTACTGTCCAGGGCGGATCCTGTCATTTGACTACTCCAGGCTGGACACCGAGCCACAACCGTGGAGAACCAGAGGGTGGACTCCGCCCGCTAATGTCAAGTACAGTGATAATGCTGGACCCGTTGTTTCCCTCAAACCATTCAAACAGTGGACCCCAGAGATCCCTGCTAAGATAACGAAAGTTGAAGTGAGAATGGGGACAGGGTGCAGAGAAATGACTCTTGCTCCACCTGCGAACTCAGAAGTACCCAGACTGAGACCGCTTGCAGCCCATCAGTAGTGTCTGGGGCTTTAACAAAAGTGTAGACCAGCACTGCTCTGTATAGCACTTTCTGACTCTCGTTCCCACTCAATGACTTTTGAGTCCAGCCTAGGAGAGGAGAGTAAGGTCATTTTCAAATTAGTTTTTCTTTTAAAGGCTGTTAACTTTAATGCCAATACGGTATTCTGTCTTCACCTTTGGGTCTTACCTTTCCATTACTTTGATTTACAATGACTGTATTTTTCATTAATGCTTTAAATTTTCTTTACTTCTTATTTGGTTGCATATCCTGGCATCTTTCTTTCCAGTCGTTCCCCCTGTGCCCATGTTGACTGTGTAAAATCGTTGAAATGTATAAAAATATATGAGCAATGAAACAAAAAAATTCAATACCCATGGGTGTTGCACCCAACTTAATAACTAGGTCATTGCATTTTATTGGGACTCTCTGGGTGTTCCTCTCCAATGCATCCATCAGAGGTAACCTAAACACTGTCCTAATTTTGTCAGTCTAATATATATTTTTTAAGATTTTTATTTATTCACTTGACAGAGAGAGATCACAAGTAGGCAGAGAGGCAGGCAGAGAGAGAGGAGGAAGCAGGCTCCCTGCTGAGCAGAGAGCCCGATGCGGGACTCGATCCCAGTACCCTGAGATCAGGACCTGAGCCGAAGGCAGCGGCTTAACCCACTGAGCCACCCAGGCGCCCTTGTCAGTCTAATTTTAATGACTACTTTTAGTGTCCCCAGAATGCTAATACCTGTTGTCTACTCCAACACCCAAATGAAGGAAAAATTGAAGACCTAAAAAAAAAAAAAAAAAATTCAAATGCCAAGTGTCTTGTGTTTGACAAAAGGAATGACCAGCCCCGCCTCCTTTCCTAGTCTCCTATTTTGTCCATTGCTCAATTCCTTGGTAATGTTCCACTGTCTACTCTTATCGGCTTGGAATGTGAGCTTTATAAGGGCAGGGGATAGGACTTTTTTTTTTTTTTTTTTAATTTACCGCCAGTATCTAACTGCAGCAGAGTGGAAATTGCAGTAACTTTGGAATCCAAGGTGGCTTGGTTTCTAGGCCTGTCCTAAACCACCTGTGTGGTTTCAGATCGGTCAAAGGAGTTGATGTGCAGTGTACTTAGCACTGTGCCTGCCACAAGTAAGCTCCCCAATAAAACGTAAGCTCCCTGCTGCTAGCGGGATTGTTGTTAGTTTTCTTTTTGTTTCTTTTTTTCCTGTTATATTCGCAGTGCTTAAAGTGGTGCCTGGCACACAGTAGGCATCAATAAATATTTGTCAAATAATTAATTAATACTCAAGCTATTAACTGCAATTACCTAAGCTACCTGGGTGTCAGTCTGGTGATCAGTACGTAACATGATTGTACGTTGGGGTGTGAAAGATCCTTTCTACCTCTAAAATTCTTTAACGCAGGATGACTGAGTGGCTCAGTCATTAAGCGTCTGCTTTTGGCTCTGGTCATCATCCCAGGGTCATGGGATCGAGTCCCACATCAGGCTCCCCGCCCTACGGGAGGCCGGCTTTTCCCTCTCCCTCTCCGCCTGCTTGTGTTCCCTCTCTCGCTGTGTCTTCCTCTGTCAAATAAGTAAATAAAATCTTTTAAAAATAAATAAATAAAATTCTTTAACGCAGAATAGAGCCAGGCACAAGGAGGTCCAGTAAATGCATGTTGGCGAAAACAGACAGACTCGGAAAGATGTGTCCCCTGTCTGGAAGACAATGGCTGCACTCAGAGAGCCCATCGGTTTGCACAGGCTCATGTGGGAGCAGACAGCTGGTTTCCCTCATTCTGTTCCCCCCTCCCCTCACCCTCTCTCTGCTTAGCTCTTAGCCCTTTGGTTTCCAGTTTTTGTTCCATATGAAGTACCTACCCAAGACTAGGCCCTCCCACACATGTGCCTCTCCCCTTCCCTCCAGCTTGCTGCCAACCTGCTTATGCAATTGTGGGGTGGGAGAGTCTCTTCTCAGAGCATTTTGCTTGTGGTAGCTGTGCCTCTCCAGCCCATTATCCAGCCTTCTGGATGATCTTTGGTTGTCATATCGGTTGTATGATGGGACTAAAAGCTCACGTGAGAGAGGGAGAGCAGAGCATGTTTAGCGACTGGGCTGTTACTCAAAACACAGGACAAATAGGCCACCGGGTCTGTCTGGGATAGACCCCATTAACTGTGCTGTCCTGTTAAGCGTAGCCTAAGGGGCCATCCTTATTTGTAGCTTCCAGGGAGGAAAATGTCAACCTTGTTAGTTCTCATTCTCCTTCCTGCCTATCATTTTTGCTTAAAGCCCTTAAAAAAACCCATAACTTTGTTAATTATTTTCTTCTAGGGATTTTAGTCTGTTTTGCTCAGACAAATTGGGACATAACTTAAGTTTTTTTTTTTTCCCTTGTTAAGTTTTGATGAGGAACTCACTGAGATAATTTGGATAGATGCTTGTTATTAATAAAATACTTCAATATAGGCTGCATGTTAAAAATAGGAATGATCTCGTTAAAGTGAGTTCTTATTCAGTCTTGTTAGTGACTCTAGAATAGAATCTGCAGTTTCAAGTGCTCTCCCTCTTGTTCTTTTTATATAATTTAGCTTGTGAGATGGGTAAAATTGAGACAGAAGACCTTTGTTCTGACATTTTGACCTTCTATTTCTCACTGACCTTATTATTTCATCTTAATTTATCTGTACTTGCCTTAGAGGGAAGCAGACATTGTAGATATTCATAAATGCTTATTTAGAATTTTCAGTGGGTTGTCCAAAAAAAAAAAAAAACCACAATAAGGGGAATTCTTTGTGGGAAATCGACACTGGTAGGATGGAAAAGGGGAGATAAAGAGTGAGGGGAAAGATTAGGGAAGGCTGTGTTGGAGGGAGACAGGTTTCTTTATTCCCAGCAATAAGGAGTGGGCGTGGTAATAGAAAGTAGGGGAAGGAAGTGGTTTATTTTTCTCATAAATACCATCTGTGGGGTGTATAAGAGGAGCATGTTAGCAATTTGGGGGGAGAAAGTGAAGCAGCAGGGCCAAGCCCCAGGGCAAAGTCAGATCAGGAGCTCTGAGGGGGAGGAGGCTGGTGGCACATGGGTTGCCCTAGGCTCTTTTTGAATTTTTCTTTTATTGGTCACCTTGTACTATGCTGTCTATTGTTGGCAACCGTTCTTGTTAGGTCGCTTACCTAATTGGGAGGAATAAGATCTGGGCTTAGAAGAATGAAAAGGGCTGGATATAGTCAAATTGTCCTGTATGAAGACTTTCTGTTCCTTGTTGTTTGAGCAGGTTCAATTGGTGATGACGCTTTTCTAAGGGTTTGTTACATTTTTTAGATGTCGCCTTTCGCTTTGCCTCATACGTCAATAACTACATGGTGCTGCAGAAGGAGCCTGCCGGGGCAGTGATTTGGGGCTATGGCACATCGGGAGCCACAGTGACAGTGACTCTGTGGCAAGGTCAGGAAACCATCATGAAGAAAGTGACCAGTGTGAAAGGTAAGGAGGCTGGTCCTCTGTTCAGCTTTTGTCCTCTTCTGCCACCTGCTGGATAATCTGGAAATGAATGCTTAGGCTCCCGCTCAGGTTATGGCAGCCATCCATTATCCACCATCCCTAAGAGCTCAAGTATTTACCATGTGTAGGGCCCTGGGGATACAAAAGAAATCAAGACAAAGTCAAAGCCCCTGCCTTCCACGGTCTCATGGAGTAATGGGAATAGACACCAAGTCATAAATTGCAGCGTGATGAATACTATGGTGAAGGTGTATATAGGGTGTCATGGGGTTCAGAAGAGAAACGTCTGACTCAGACTGGATGGTAAGAGACGGTTCCTGCAGAAACTACTGTTTGAACTGAATCATATATGAAGGAGAGGCGGTATGGAGGAGGGCTGAAGAGCTTAGGCTCTGGATTCACTGTCTGGCTTCAGGTTCTGACTCTGCCACATTATCACCATATAACCTCAGGCATGTTATTTAATGTCTCTGCATCACAATTTCCTTATTTTTAAAGTGGGGATAATAATGATATTTAAGGGTGCCTTGGTGACTCAGTCAGTGAAGTGGCTGCCTTCGGCTCAGGTCATGATCCCAGGGTCCTGGGATCGAGTCCCATATCGGGATCCCTGCTCAGCAGGGAGTCTGTTTCTCCTTCTCACTCTTCTTCTGTGCTCTCTGTCTCAAATACATAAATAAGATATTTTAAAAAATGATATTTAGTATTATTGCAAAGATATAATGAATTAACACATGTAAAGTATTTAGAACAGTGCCAGGCTCACAGGAAGTACTGAATAAATGTTAGCTGCCACTATATTGTTATATTTAGTTGGTCAAATATTTATTGAGTCCCTGTGTGCCAGATACTGTGCTAGGTAGTGGTGATACCATGATTAGCGAGATAGATGTGGTCTTCTTCTTCTTCTTTTTAAAGATTTTATTTATTTATTTGGCAGGGAGAGACACAGCAAGAGAGAGAACACAAGCAGAGGCAGAGGGAAAAGCAGGCTTCCTGCTGAGCGGGGAACCTGATGTGGGGCTCCATCCCAGGACCCTGGGATCATGACTTGAGATGAAGGCAGACATTTAATGACTGAGCCACCCAGGCACCCCTAGATGTGGTCTTCTAAGGAAGCTTACAGATAGGGGAGGAGAGAGAAAAATAATAAGATGACAGGTAAGTGCATTAGGTGCCACAGTCTAGAAGTGCAGTGTGCTCTGGGAGTGCCTAGAGGAGATAATTCACTTAGCCTGAGGTTTATCTTGAAAGATGAGTAGGGCAAACCAGGTAGGGGGAAATAGCCTGGACAAAAGCATGGAGGTGTGAGTGAGCACGGGTCCTTGGCGAGATGGCAAACAGGCTGGTTTGCTTGAACGCTGGGGTGTGTGACTGCTGGCAGATGACGGGGGAGAAGGTTGGAAATGTAGGAAGGCTTGTCTGTCACTGCTAAGGAGTATATATTCTGGTTTGGATTTTTAGGTTTTAAGCAGCAAAATAACTCAGTTGGATTTGTATTTTAGAAAGATGACTCTGGCAGCACGGTGGAAAATGGATTGGAGATCAGTAAGAGTAGAGGTGGTGAGAACTGGTAGGCAGTTATGAGATTCTGGCAATAGACCGTGAAGGCCTGACCCAAGGTGGTGGCTGCAGGATGTTCAAGAAGTTGAGAACCAGAAGCTTCCATGAGCAGACAGGTCCTACAAAGGATTCTCTGTCTAGAAGAGATAAAGCTGTGTAAGATAGCATGGGAAGAGCATAGCTGGAATTTACTGGAGGCAGGAAGTCACAGTCAGGGCTGGGTCAAGTGGAGATTAGATCAGATCTTGGTTAGAAGTAGCAAATAGCTATGGAGTATTCAAGGTGAGAGGCAGACAGGTAAGGAGGTACACTGGGGAGCAGTGGGGTGAAGGTGGGAGTTGGTGGTTTGAGCTATGAGTTGAATATATGGATGACTGGGAAGCTTATGGAAATTCTTTTGGCCCTTGAAAACAAAGATTGCTGAATCAGTTCTTGTCAATATCCAATTCAGAGTGATCCAGACCCTGGTGCAGGCTCTTTGTAATTAATTTCCATTCAATGAATATTTTTAACTATTATGTACCAGCCATAGATGCAAGGTAAGTGCTTCTAGTTTTTGGATTTTAAAACTTCTTGAGGTAAGAATGTTATTGGGTGAGACTAAGAGTTAAAAGGGAAGCTTAAGATGATTGAGAAATTGTTCTCTGTTAGATTTAAAAGCTACTGGTGACCTATAGGATAAACTGAAAAGGAATTCAAGAGATGAGTGGTGCTTTCTTTTTGTGTTGTGTCCATCTCAGAAATTAATAGCACAGAATATTTATTGAGCGTAATCTCAGTAAATGATGTCGATTTATAAATCCAAAGAACCACTGTAGTTTAAATATAATAAATAGGATTTCCTTGGTGCCAATAATTAACATACCAATAAATATTTAGAAGACAGAGGCTACATAGTACTATAATGGTAGATACAGAAGATGTATATATATTTATATGTATATACATATATACATATGTATGTGTGTACATATATACATGTACATGTATTACATGTATATATGTATATACTTTATATATATTTATCAGGCTCTCCACATTTGCTTGGTACAAAAAAAAGGTATTTATTTAATGTAGATCCATAAACCTCCTTATAGGGGCATCTTGATCTTTGCCCATATATATAGCATTTTCAGATTTTTTTAAATGTTCTTATGCATTATTTTAAGTCTTTTCTCCCCTCATGGCTATCGTAAGACCAATATTTGGAATGGCCAGAGATGGGACATGAGGGTAGGTAGTGACAACAAGGCGTGAAATGTAATTAATTAGGGGGTGAGCCTTTCTTTTCCTTCATGGTGACAGTGAACTTGCTCACTTGTCTTGAGTTCAATCCTATAAATATCAATCAAAGGTTTATTGTGTATAAAACACTGAAACCCTAAAAATACGAAGAAGAATACAAGTTGTGCCCATCCTGCAGGAACGCACTCTCTCATGCTTTCCTTTCACACTCGGTACTTTAGGTTTAAGTAATGCTTCTGTTGCTTTACTGCAGAGTGATGTGTCATTTGAAGTTAAAATATCCAGCAGCATCCTAAGGGAACCGAGTGATTCATGGACTATTGACGGTAATTTCACAGGAAAAGGGGGGATGTTATTGGTAGCAGTGGGGGTAGATCTCTTTATTAGGCTGTCCACGTTTGCTAGGTAAGGAAGAAAGGTATGCATTGTATGTAGATCCATGAACTACCGATAGGGGCGTCTAGCTCTGTTCTGCACAAGAAGCAAAACAGATAAAGTGTTATTTGGAGTTAAGGACATAGATATATAGGAAATTTTATAGGGCAGCAAAGAAAATGCTTCTCGAAGAAAACACTACAGGGTATATCAGAGGGTTGATTTCTATCTGAATTTTCATGAGGGCTCTGGGATTTTCAGCTAGACTACCTCAATTTGTCACCCTATCTCTGTTAATATTTACCTTATTACCTATAATCAATCCCCTGGGTGCCCGCAACAAAATGGATTTAACAGCATGAAGGTTTTTGTCCAGCAGACGGACACTCAAGCTTTGGGAAAATTAAAAACTTGAGGGAATGATTGGGAATATGGGTCAGGTACTGGGCCTATTCAGACCATCTTGTCAAATGATGCCTGATGATTCTTTCAGACACAAGGAATAAAATGAGGTGGGGGGGATAGCATGTATCCTCTCACTCTGATGCACATGGGGGATGCATGGGGGGTGCTAACATGAGGGTGTGTCTGGATTTGTCATCACGACTGTGGTAAGCAGAGATATTTTCTCTAACTTAGAGAATTCCAAAAAGCTTAAACCCCTTAGAGAAGCAAAAAGCTCCCGGTTGCAGTGTTAGCATGCATACTCCTTTTTTTTTTTTTTTTAAAGTTCTTTTTTTTATTTATTTGTCAGAGAGAGAGAGAGAGAGAGCGAGCACAGGCAGACAGAATGGCAGGCAGAGGCAGAGGGAGAAGCAGGCTCCCTGCCGAGCAAGGAGCCTGATGTGGGACTCGATCCCAGGACGCTGGGATCATGACCTGAGCCGAAGGCAGCTGTTTAACCAACTGAGCCACCCAGTCATCCCGTATACTCCTTTTCTATGCTACATAATAAAGAAACTACCACAAACTTAGATGCTTACGAGAACACATATTTATTATGACCCAGTTTCAAGCGATCTGGAAGCCTGGGCCATCACTCAGCTGGGTTCTCTGCTCAGGGTCTCACAAGACTGAAATCAAGTGTTGGCTGGGCTGTGTTCTCATCTGGAAGCTTGACTAGGGAATGATGCCCCGCTCTTGTAGATTGCAGGCAGATTCATTTCCTTATGCCGACAGCACTCGTGGAAGCAATTCTGTGGCTCCAAGTCTCTGATCTTGAGACCTTCTTTATTTTTTTAATTTTATTTTTTTTTTAAAGATTTTGTTTATTTATTTAACAGACAGAGATCACAGGTAGGCAGAGAGGCAGGCAGAGAGAGAGGGGGAAGCAGGCTCCCTGCTGAGCAGAGAGCCCGATTTGGGGTTGGATCCCAGGACCCTGGGATCATGACCTGAGCTGAAGGCAGAGGCTTAACCCGCTGAGCCACCCACGTGCCCCAAGACCTTCTTTATTTTAAAGGGCTGGCCTTATTAGGTCGGGGCCCACCTAAGGATTTCTCCCTTTTCATTAACTTAAAGTCAGCAGATTAGGGACTTTAATTCCATTGGCAAAACTCCTTTATCTTTAACCAAGTCATCACAAGAATGACATCTCCTCCCCCATGCCATTTTCTGTTGGTTAGAAGCAAATCACAGATTCTGCCTGCTTTTGAAGGGGAGGGGACTACATAAGGGTGTGACTTATGAGGAGGTCGCTGTGTCTGCCATAGCATGCTATCATTTAAACAACTTGCATAAACAGTTTTATTGCTAGAAAAATAGTCAAGCTTTTTTTTTTTTTCTTTTTACATTCATATTTGGTGGTGGTGGAGATGAACTTTATACAGAATAAATGTAGGTTGTCAAGGGGCATTTTGGGCACTGAGATCTCCCAGTCACTTCCACACATCACTGGACTGATTTGCGGCTGGTGAAGTGCCAGGGTTTCTGTGGGGGAAGAAACAAATAAGGCTGCTTCTTCCAGCTCTAGGCTTTCCTTTTGGGAAGGGAACGGTCATGGATAATTTTCCTTTTTGCTTGGCATCTGAGATTTGGCACAATAACCCGAAAACTAATTACCATCTGATGTGAATAGCAAAAGGGAAGAAAGCATGAAAGCACTTTATGACTAATCATGTCTTTAGACAAACTCCTTTAATTTTTTTCCCCTTTGATGATTTGTTCTTCCGATTTTTGAGGTGGGGGTTGGTCAGGGAGATGGAGAGAAAAAAAAAAAAGAAAAGGGTTCTTTACTTAAGCCCTTGGCCCGGTATGTAGAGAAGTAGGAAGAGAAGAGGGACAGGAAGAAATAGGCCACCAGATACGCTCACCATTGGACACGGAAACACAAAGCCCTAATTGGTTTGCGTGGCTTTCTTGGTGGTGTAACTCAGCGCTGGCATTTACTCTCTGTGGGTTACCTGATGGCATGCCTGGCACACGGTAAGCACTCAAAGTCACTCTATAATGAAGGAAGGACATGAATCTTCCCCCATGGGAGAAGATAGAATGTGAAGAAGCAACAAATGCAGGATGTGAGGAATGCAACAAAAATGAGAATGTACAGAAACCTGGGCCTGGATTGATAACTGAGGTGGTAAGATGGCAGGTGATGAGGGCCCAGAAGAAGGAACCAGAGCAGCTGTTGCTCGGAAAGCCCATCAGGATCAGCGGAAAGCCAGCTGGGTGGTGAACTTCCAACTCTTATTAGTCAGTGACTCAGTTGTATTGTTTGGCTTCAACCTCATGGATGTGGTGGGTCAACACAGTTTCTAAAAACTCTAAGTGGATTTCGTCATCCTGTGGTGAGCTCCGCTTTATCCAGCCGTTCTCTGTGGGAAACGGGGTGACTTTTGCCTTCATCATTCTACCCTTGCCTTTAGTCTAAGAAGCAGCCTTCGCAGGGGTTGCCTTCCTTTGTGTGTACTTAACCAGGGAGGGAATCCTCATTGTTTTAACCGAATTGTTTCTGAGTTAGTTTGACCCCTAGTCAGCTCTCTGCAGTGGGTCTGGTTTCTCCTGCGTTCCGGCCAGGCAGCTTCACTTAACCCTCATTATTGTGTCAGAGTTTATTTATTTTTATCAAGTGGGAGAGGAAAACTGCTTGAAACTGACAGAACTTGAGGAGCAGGGCAGAGGCAGTTCTCTCGGGTCTTTGAGGGAGCTGAGAGCTTTCCTCAGGAGAGCAGTGCTTGGGGATAAGCGTCAGGCCAGCATCCCTAGTCCTCTTCAGACTATTTAGGTTCTAGAAGGAGCTCATCCTCCTGCTGTCGTAGGCCGATGTTGCCATCTCTTGTCCAAACGTCTCCCCTTGCCCTTATTTGTCTTTTTGTTGCTGGGCAGCAAAACGTTCTAGAGGGCCCGGTGAAGACCATTTTGTTCACCAGACATACTGTGTGACTGAGGCGAAGTGTAAATATCCAGTAAGCAACAGAGAATAGAAGTAGATTGTTTAGTAGTAGAAAGCTAAAAAATCGTCCTGCCTAAGTTTTTTGAGCTCCTCATCAGTAAATGAGTAACGTTGGTGGCAGAAGGACAGAGCTTCGGGAAGATATGTCCGTGCAAGAAGCCTGGAAAGACCTTGGCAAGACTGTAGTTGGGACAGATTGGAGTGTCTGTCTGCTCAGAAGCATGAGCCATATGGCATATATCACACCTGTGCGACACAATCTGCACTAGCTGCCCACTGTTTCCAAAACAGTGATTTTTCCGCTTTAGGTGAATTATACATTTAATATGTTGCTGTCTGGCTATTGGTGGTGTAAAAACGATAGTGAACATTTGGACCTGGCTTTAATTGACCTCCAAGGGACGGGAGAAGCAATCTCAGTCAGTTTTACTTTTGAGAGGAACACGCGTGCACCCTTTTGCCTGGTGCCTTGAGCCTTTTGGACACTTTCCCCAAGACTCTGAGCAATCCTGTATGGCCTGAGCTGTTACTCATCTCCTATCATGCATCTGGACCCCTCATGCTCCTGCGTAGCTTTTGCTGATTTGGAAGAACTTAGCACCATGTCTAGCACACAGTAGGCACCTGGATAGTATTTTTTCATTATTATTTTTTTTTACAGGTTGCTGTGATGACTTCAGGCTGCTCCATTTCCAGTTCTTACCATTCTTTCCCTTTGAACTAACATTGATCCGATGGGCATAGATTAGAAATGATTTTGTATCCTTTGGCATTGTGCCAAGAATATTTATTTTAAAATGATCACTTCTCTATGTTCTTTATTTTTCTCACTCACATTTCTTCAACTTTGTGCATGTTGTTTGGTTCTCCGAGGCATAATTTTGCCATTTTGAAGATATTTTCCTTAAGTTTCTGAGTATGATGTTGGCAGTGGTGGTGGTATGAGTGGGTGAGAGGTAGGAAGGTGGTAGGGGGGTGGTTCTTAAGGAATATGCTGTGAATTTCTGAAATAGGGTCTTGGATAGCTTTCTCATCTCCCTAATTGAGTCCGAAAACCTTGTATCTGGTAAATAACTCTGAAAATAATTAATTGGGCACGTCTGAATAGCTTCTTCATAGAGATTCATTTGTATGCTCCTACCGTTTCTTTGTATGTCACTTTCTCTGCTCACCTGTGAGTCTGGAGAACCCAGACCCAATGGATGCAACATGGGGAGTGGGCCGCGGACTGATGACAAGGATGATACCATCAAGTAAGGGGAAAGTTCCAGATTGTAAATGATTTTCTCTAACCTGTGTTCATATTTGATTATATAATACAGACTAGTTTGGGGCACTGTGTAAATCCATTAGATTACAATTCTATTAATATTGGCAGTTGGATGAGAGTTTCTATTTAATTTTTTTTAATTAAACTCCCTGAATTTTAATCTCAGTATTTTTTGTCTGTTCTCATTTAGTATTATAACCGGGTGATTTATTTTTCCTGTAAATGCTTCAGTTACAAGGAAGGAGGGACTGGTACAGATTAAGGATAGAAATGCCACTGCTTTTGTTATTTCTATTTGCTTGTGTGAAATTTGGCCAATCTTCCTATCTTTGAATTCAGTTCATCACAATGTCTGGGTTTAGCCACAAATGAGTGTGACGCATGGCAGGACTGGGCTTTAATTTCATTTTAATTGATTGATTAATTCCTTGGAGCCTCTTAATGCTTTCAGGACACTCTAACAGCTGGATGGCGGTTCTGGATCCTATGAAGCCTGGGGGACCTTATGAGATGGTGGCACAACAGACTTTTGGGAGAACGAACGGCACCCTGAGAGTTCATGATGTCCTGTTTGGAGATGTCTGGCTTTGCAGTGGGCAGAGTAACATGCAGATGACAGTTTCACAGGTAATTTTCAGAAGTTCAGTGTTAATAATGTTGATGATGATGATGAAGAAGAAGAAAAAAGAAGGAGGAAGAAGGAGGTAGAAACCTTTTTTTACCAGAGGCCAAAATCTGTTCTAAGTGTTTGGAATGTAATAATTTGATTTAATGACTTGATGAGGTGAATATCATTCATTTCCTAGATGGGGACACTGGCCAGGGAGGTTAAAATGACCTGCTTAAGGTCAGCAGTTAATAGTAGAGCCAGGTGACTCCAGAGCCTTTCTTAATCACGCCTGGTGCACTGTGAGGGAGTGGGGCACTCTTTCCTCCCCTTCCTGCGCTAAAGGCAGAAGCTGGAGTATCTCATGGTCAGGCAGATTTCATATCAAATTGAAGACAAAGTAGATTACTCTTCTTCTTGATAGGTTTTAGAAGATGAGCTTCTGGAGAGAGCCTGGGAAATCAAAACAATTAGATTTTGTTTTAAGCTATGCATCTAGTAGAATACAGGTCTTTTGTTGTCATGGAGATTTAACAAATTGAGACCAAATGTTGGCTTTGCCTTTCATCAGTTGTATGACTTGGAGCAAATCACTGTATTTCTGAGACTTTGTTTTCAAAACGTACTTTTTAAAAAAAATTTTTATTTTTTATAAACATATAATATATTTTTATTCTCAGGGTTACAGGTCTGTGAATCGCCAGGTTTACACACTTCACAGCACTCACCATAGTACACACCCTCCCCAATGTCCATAACCCCACCCCCCTCTCCCAACCCTCCTCCCTCCAGCAACCCTCAGTTTGTTTTGTGAGATTAAGAGTGACTTATGGTTTGTCTCCCTCCCAATCCCATCTTGTTTCATTTATTCTTCTCCTACCCCCTTAATCCCTCATGTTGCATCTCCACTTCCTCATATCAGGGAGATCATATGATAGTTGTCTTTCTCCGATTGACTTATTCAAAATGCACTTTTTAAAACAATCATTGTTAAAATGAATATAACATCGTATTTATCATTTTAACCATTGCCAAGTGTACAACTCTGGGGCATTAAATATATTCACGGTCCTGTGCATACCTATCACCAGTATCTATACTCAAAATTTTTTCATCATCCCTGGTGTAAACTCTGTACCCATTAAACAAGAACTCCTCCTTTTTTTCCCTCTTCCACCCCTGGTAACCTCTGTTCTGCTTTCTTTCTATGAATTTGCCTATTCTTGTACCTCAATTTTCAGTGTATAAGTCTCTTACCTCCTTGGCTAGATTTATTCCCAAGTATTAAATTCATTCGTTCTTTAGTTCATTCGTTCATTCATTCATTTTCTGCCTAGAAACTATCTTCCTTTCTTTTTCTTCTTTTTTAGATGCTGTTGTAAATGGAATTATGCAATCTTTGTCCTTCTATGTCTCACTCATTTTACTAAGTATAATGTTTTCAAGGTCTATCCGTGTTGTACCATATATCAAAATTTTGCCCTTTTTTATGATGCATTTTGTTTATCCATTCTTTATCCATTCTTCTGTTGGTGGATGCTTGGGGGTTTCTGTCTTTTGGCTGTTGTGAATGATGCTGCTAGGAACATCGCTTTACAGATATCTGTTCAAGTCCCTGCTTTCAGTTTTTTTGGATATATACCTATGAGTGAATTTGCTGGATCATCTGTTAGTTCTATGTTTAACTTTTGAGGAACCACCAAACCATTTTTCCACAGTGCCTGTACTATTTTATGTTCCTACCAGGAATCTGCAAAAGTTTCAATTTCTTACACATGTTACTTTCTAGTTTTTTGTTAATTAAAAAAAAATTTTTTATTATAGCCATGCTAGTAGATATGATTGTGGTTTTGATTTGCTTTTCCCTAATGATTAATGATGTTGAGTGTTATTTCAGGTACTTATTGCCATTTATATATTTTCTTGGAGAACTAAGTTCTTTTTATTTATTTTTAAAAAAATTTTATTATTTTTTGTTACATTATATTTGTCACCATACAGTACATCATTAGTTTTTGATGTAGTCTTCCATGATTCATTGTTTGCATATAACACCCAGTGTGCCATGCAATATACCTTCCTTAATCTTTGCCCATTTTTCAATTGGGGTGTTTGTTGTTGAGTTGTAGGAATTATTTATATATTCTAGATATTAATCCCTTTTCAGATATTTGATTTGCAAATAGTTTCCCACTCTGTAGTTTGTCATTTCACATTCTTGAGAGTATCCTTTGATACACAAAATTTCTTAATTTTGTTGAAGTCTAGTTCATTTATTAATGTTTTGTTGTCTATGCTTTTGGTGTCATACTGATGAAATTGTTGCCAAATACAAAGGTTTTCACCAGTGTTGTCCTCTAAGAATTCTATAGTTTTACTATAGATCCATTTTTTGGATTATTTGATCCATTTTTGGGGGTCAGTTTTTATTGGGTGAGGGTATAAGGTGAAGGTCTAACTTCATTCTTTTGCAAGTGGATATCTGGTTCTCCCAGCATCATTTGTTGAAGACTAGCCTTTTGCTATCACACTCTTGGAATTCCAATTGACCACATATGTGTATTTATTTCTGGGCTTCCTCTTTTATTCCATTGATCTATATGTTTCTGCTTATGCTCATACCATACTGTTTTAATTACTGTAGCTTTGTAGAAAGTTTCAAAGTTGGGAAGTATAAGTCTTCCATCTTTATTCTTCTTTTTCAAGATTGTTTTTTGCTAGTCATGGTCCCTTGCAATTCCGTATGAATATGAGGATATACTTTTCCATTTCTGCAAAAAAAGGCTACTGTAATTTTGATAGATACTGTGTTGAATCTATAGATTGCTTTGGGTAATATTGACATTTTAATGGGGTTAAGCCTTCTTGATATGAAGGGATGTTTTCCCATTAATTTACATCTTTATTTTTTTTCAGCAGCATTTTATAGTTTTCAATGTACACATTTCTTACCTCCTTTGCTAGCTTTATTCCTAAATAATTATTTTTGATACTATTATAAATTAATTTTCTCATAAGACTGCTCATTGCTGGTGTATAGAAACAAGTGAATTTTACATGTTGGTCTTGTACCCTGAAACTTTGCCGAATTAGTTTATTAGTTCTGGTAGCTTCCTTGTGGATTTTTTTGGGGGGGGGGTTTCTAGTGTAGGAGCATATCATCTGTGGATAGAGATAGTTATACCTATTTGGATGCCTTTTATTTCTTTTTTCTTTTCTAATACCTCTGGATAGAACTTCTAGTGCGATATTGAGTAATAGTGGTGAAAACAGACATCCTTGTCTTGTCCTGGTTTTAGGGAGAAAGCTTTCACTCTTTCACCCCTGAGTGTTATCTTACTTGTGGGTTTTTCGTAAGTGCCTTTTATCATGTTGAGGAAATTTCTCTCTATTTCTAGTTGTCTGATATTTTTTTTTTAATCATGAAAGTATGTTGAATTTTGTTAAATGTCTGGGACTTAATTTTCATGACTGTACTATAATAGTGATTATATCTGACCTAATTTACAAAGATTAAATTATTGTGTTTGTTTCTAAAAGGTCTTTATAAATTGAAAACTGCTGTCTAAAAATAAGATGTCACTATTTTTTAAACTTTTTATTATAAAACATTTCAGGCACACACAAAAGTTAAGAGACTTATACATACCTATATACCCATCACTTAGATTGACAGTTGTGAATATTTTGCCATATTTGGTTTATGTATTTGTGTGTGTGTGTGTGTGTGTGTGTGTGTGTGTGTGAGAACCACCTCAAGGTAAGCTGTAGACATCTTGATACTTCACTTGGGTGTCATATATGAAATTAATATATATTCATAAGTCAAATTAATATGTTTAAATATGTTTTTTCTTTACACAGAAAGGAGAGATAATAGGCCAATGATGATTATTTTTGCTCAGTTTTTTCATACCTAGGATTTCTTTTGTTGGCATCAATTCTTCTCTCTTTCAGTCATGGTCTTTGAAGAGTAACTGTTCTTAAATTTTGAGACCTCACATTTTTTCTCCTCCCTTATTATATAACTATATAGAGGCTTCACTGCTAGAATATTGGGTGGAAGAGCACTGGTAGGCTCCCAAGGAGGGATGGGGCACATAGAGTCCATGGAGAATCAAGTGGGACAGAGCAAGGGAATTCTGATTTGCCAATATGTCCGTCAGTGATGAAATTCACTTTGAAGGTTCATGTCTTCATTGCTCTTAGAGAATAGGGCCCCTCTGATTGAGTGAGGTCTCTTAAGTAAAGCTGGATAGAAAGGACACTGGAAAGAGTTGCCAAGGGAAGCACACCTCGTACTTTGGTATTCTAGCAAGACAGCAGTGGTAGCACAAAGCCTTGGTGTTCTATGTCTTTAGCACTCAGCTTCCTTTTTAAAATCTGCTCTACTTTCCAAATGAAACCCCAAAACTGTCTAGAATGAGGAGGTTGGATTTTGGGATAGGGTGTGATAGGTTTAGTGCTTTGGGCCTCCGAATTGTCATGGCTTCATTGGTTTGGTGGAAGCTATCTGACTTAAAAATAAAAGTAAGGGGGGGGGCACCTGGGTGGCTCCATGGGTTAAAACCTCTACCTTCAGCTGAGGTCATGATCCCAGGGTCCTGGGAGCAAGCCCTGCATCGGGCTCTCTGCTCAGCGGGGAGCCTGCTTCCTCCTCTCTCTCTGCCTGCCTCTCTGCCTACTGGTGATCTCTGTCTGTCAAATAAATAAATAAAATCTTTAAAAAAAAATGAAAGTAAGGGAGACTGTTGTGGTTTCATTTCAATTAGAATCAGGGCTGAACAGTGTATTAGCAAGTTCATAGATATATTGAAACTATATCCGCTTAAAGTATTGCTGAAAGAGGAGTAAAGATTTTTTTGTGCAGTATTAGAACTTAAAAGAAATTACTCTGACTTAAGTTCTTTGACACATTTGAAACTGGGATTGATTTTCTTTGCTTATTTGTATGTTCTTATTTTTCTATAATGAGCATGAAATAACTAATTTTTAAAAGAAAGCTGTAAGAACGGAAATTGATATTGACTTAACTAATCTCTTAAATATTTATCGAATGCACAGTTTACAATGAAGAGTCATATTATATAAACAGGAATCTTAGGAATAAATTCTTTAATTTGCATCATGGATTGGCAGAGATATGTTCTGCGTACTTTGATTTATTTCCTTTAATTGGCTTAGAACTTGAAAACATTATTGTCTTCCCAGGTCTCCCTAAAACTTAATTTCTTCTCAAGTTAATTTTTATTTTCCTGCCTTTCTCTCATTACCTACTTCTCCATTTTTGATAAATACTTAAATTTGAGATTTAAAAATCTCTATGATGACACTGTGATCTCAGTTCATTTATCTTAAAAGAAAATTATAAAATTGAGTCCTTTCAATTCAATTCAATTGAATTCTTGAATTCAATTCAAAAAATCAAAGTCCATACTTTGATTTCTTGTTTTGCTTCTATTTCTTCTACCCCTGATTGCTTTTTTTTCTTTTTCATTTGTTAACCAATCACTAAATAGTGCTACTAAAAAGGTCCTACTCTGGACATATCTATATCATTTTTTATTAGTTTTGTAATTCAGAATCTAAATTCTTACATTTATGTTTTCATAACTGATATCTTATTTACTCTTGCTTCCTGCCCTGCTTAAATATATGGATACGTTTGAGTTTAAATGTTTATTAAGGTGAACTTTAACGGGGCTCCCTTTCAGCACCAGTGAGTGGAAGCAAAATTGAAGTTTTGTATCTTAAGAGAAAGCATGGTTTTGTACAGAAGTGGGATTGCTGCTAACTCCCTAAGGAAAACAGTACTTTCCTTAATGTTTTAATTGTAGTTCCCTGTTTGCACAGAAAGGCATGGGCCAGATGTATTTGTATCTATACAGTCAGGTTCCCAATAGCAGTCTATGCCAGGGGATCTTATCCCATTTTCTGTCAAGCTGAATGAGATTTTGATATTGTTAAGAGTGAACACATTCTCTCTGCCTAGAATTTACTCTTATGCATCTTCTGTATTAGACCAAGGCTACAAGCTCTGGCATATAGGAAGATAGAAAAAAGATTCCCTCTAACACAGCCAAGAGTTAATTTTTAAAAAAAATTTTTGTTTTAAATCATACACTTAGTTTGTAAGACAACATTTTAGGTGCTGACAGTATCCAAACCAAATTCTCCAGTCTCTTAACACTGTGTAAAACTTTATTTTTTTGATCAAAAGAGTGCTTTATATGATTCCTCCTTTATCCCTTTTTCTCCTTTTCGTCTAAAGACTCCCTACACAGACACACACACACGTACACACATGTACACACACAGTGTCTATCTCTTCTTTTTGATCCCCTCCACGTGACTTTTCCGAGGAGGTAAGATTTCTACTATAACCTACCACTCTTCACATTCAAATGAAGGGAATGGCAGATTGTATGCCCATCTTGTTGTTAGGGTAAAGTAGAATTTTAAGATTGAGTGTTATTTATAACACTGAGTGAGATGTGTATAAATGGAGAAAAGTCTAAATGTTCATCTGTCGCCTCCTAAGTCAGGGTAGGTCTTAAGACTTGCATATTTCTAGTTAGGCTCAGAAGAAGATGGCCATTGTTAGACAGGAAACCCAGTTTTCAATATCCTGACATTCCTACCTTACACATGGAGAAGTCAAAATCCAGAAGAAAAGAGTTGGTACCATATCACAATAAAATATTCATGGGAATGATGATGGCTGGCTTATTTATAGTTATTCCCTCAACTTTAAACCTGCTCTATTATACTGTGGTGGAAGGGACTATAATTTACAGAATCCAAAGTCTTTTTAAGTAAAGTTCACCCTTGTCCACTGCGCCCGCTCACGCGCGCACACGCATGCACACACACACACACACATATTCTTACACATGTGCCTTGCTTCCTCATGCAGACCCCATGCCAAGATTCTCTGAGGAAATAGATTCTTGATGTTTCTTCATTAATTCAAGAATGTGGCATAAAGGTTACAAAATGAACACCGGGGAGCAGCTGCTTTGATGGTGAACTGCGGGTCCCTTGAGAGCCAATGGTTTTCCCTCTCAGCCGAGGCAGCCTTAATGACTTCAAATACCTTGGTATTCATTTACATCCTCATTTAAATACTTGGTAGAAAAATAATTACACTGAGGTGTTTGATGAGATGAAATTTGATCTCAGCAGATGGAGGAAGGCTTCCCCTTTCATCAGCGGGGAAACCAAGTGTCATTTAAATGAAAATCTTCCTGAAATCTCTTTATTCCTAAATTTGCTGCCAATATCCCCGAGGAAATGCTTCCATCAAGAAGGCTTGGTGATATTGGGAAAGGGTACCAGTTTCAGAAGTAATAGCCATCAGGTAGAGCAAGAATTCCTCCCACCCCCCTGACCCCCATTTTTAACACTTGCTGTGGCTTTCGAGTTTTGGTTTGAGATAGGACACCAATGTGAGTTTGAAAATGGAAGTTTTCCCCAGCCGAGGGTTGGGGATCAAGTACCATGCACTTCGTGATTTGGAGGGGGCCAGCCGCCCAACCCTGGTGGCCTTGTGCTGCTCTGCAAGGCTCGCAGCGGTCTACACAACAAGTAGCTGGTTCGCCCATACCACCTCCCCGCGCTGGCATCTCCCTGCGAGGAGGCACTTGAGTTCCCAGTCAGTGCGGAAGCTAGTGTGGGTGGAGGGAAGGGAGGCAGTTTCATCCCCTGTTCCCATGGCAGCGACGTATGATCCTCCGCGCTGAGAGCGGAGCTGATTTCAAGGGAGGTGACTTTTTACAGGTACTTGCCGCTGAAAAATACTTTTCCTGCCAGAATAGACTGAGAGCACTTGAGCCTGTTTTCGCTCTTTACTGTTTATTTTACAGTATGCTTGCCAGGCAGGACTCGGAACAAACAGGGCTGGATTTCCTATGGAATTTTCCCGCCACCATCTGTCATCTCTGTCCTGCTAGCGAGGACCACCAGTCACCCTGTCCGGCTGGAGCGGCTGTCACCCAGTGGGCATTTCAGGCTGTGGCTCCCTGGGAGACCCCGAGAGACATTTCACTTGCAGCTGGCCCTCTTATTGGACACAGCAGGCTCCGTGGCAAGTCAAAAGGCAGTTCAAGGGGCAGCCTATTTCAATGAAGTACCCTGTGGGGGCACACTGGCTGCTTGGAGGCAGTTTCTCTCATGCTGTGGGCTGGAGGGCCAGCTGTATTCTCCGTGGTGGGTGGCAGGGAGAGGGAGCCAGCTGCACACTCTGTGGCCAGCGGCCAATGGAAAGTCTCCCAGCCTCCCATGCCTCTCGCTGTGGCGGTCCTGTCAGCTGGAGCTCTTGTTCCCGGAGGCCAACAACGAGGCCAATGATAACTGGGCTTCCTGATGCTCCTTTTAGCCCTTTGTTTTGGTAAAACCAGACTAGTCCAGGGGGATAGTTTCTTGCCAGAGAGAAGGCAAGAAAAAAAAAACCCACACGGATAACAAACCAAAACAATATATTTATAATATGTTCTTTGTAAATTAAATTAAAAAAACCTAACTAGAAAATCAGGATGGAAGGAAATAGCACTTTTGTGGAAGCTCACAGAGGAATGACTAACAAAGAAGCTCCTCTGTAGAACGTGTTCTCATCCAGAAAATCTCCAAGCCATTCTCGTCATACTCTTGGCAACTGGGAAGGTTTCATAAAGGGATTTGGGGAAAAGTGATGTCTTTGGATGGACACTTTTCTTTGTCTGGTTCCTTGGGACTACGCTTAGCATTCACACCAAACACCACCACCTTTCTCAAACTGCTCTGCCTCCTCCCATGCTTTTCTTGGGTGATTTGCCATGATGAGATGAGATTATAAGCATTTGAAACGTTTCAGTGTGTTTCAGTACTTTTACAGTCATTTCTCAGGTGTGTTCCTTTGAAAACACTTCTTTTAGGTGCTGTGGATTATGCAACTCTACCTCCTCCTGGTCTTTTGGGCTCCATTTTGAAAAGAATTTGATGCTATGATTTTATGGTATGAGATAGCTTTTCTGAATAGAAGTATTTTATTCTTATTGTATATTTTTATATTATATGCTCTAATTGATAGTTGACCTTCTTCAGCCTAAACCTCATCTAATTCAGACTTGCTCGTTGAGATCTCAAATTTCACTGTGTTCCTCTTTTCTTTGGGGACATGATTCATCATGGTCTCTGTTCATCAAGGTGGCTCAAGGTGACTCAGACCAGCCCATCACTGGTTTTGGTGACTTATTTGATCAATCTTGGTATATGAAGGCTTAGAAGGAGCTCTGAGGGTTGGCAGCGTTTACTTAGAGGTAGTAGGATAGTTGACCACCCAGTAGGTGGGTGTAAGAAATGACATTCCTGTTTCTTTTCTAGATATTCAATGCCACAAGAGAGCTGGCCAACACTGCGGCCTATCAGTCTGTCCGCATCTTCTCCGTGTCACTTATTCAGGCAGAGCAGGAGCTGGAGGACCTTGCTCAGGTTGACCTGCAGTGGGCTAAGCCCTCCTCAGGTAAGGGATTCTGGAATGTGTGCCAGCGCCTACATAATGGGTCCGTGCCCTAGGTGGAATCTGTAATCCTGGGTTCGTTTCTGATCTATTTATTGTGATTCAACCATCCCTTTACTCATTTCTGTTGACTTTCCACCCAATTTCTGATGGTAGCCATTTCATGTTTTCTCCCAAGATTCCGCCAGTGACTCTCCCTCCTTGCTCTGAGCAGATGACGCTTCCTTGAGCTTTGCTGAACACACTGAGGCCCTTCAGCACGAGCTCTGCGAGCATCTCTCTCCACTGCCTCAATGTTCTTCTCCTTTTCTCTCCCTTCCTTTGTTTCTGTGTCTGAACGCAATGGGCTGGTGTCCTTTTAGGGTTGCCTCTGATGCAGGCACCCACCCCCTCCGCAGCCTTCTTTTACTCTTTGAGCTCTGGTCTTCCACGCCCTTGTCCATTAAGCACAGAATCCTTATTTCCTGCCTGTTCTGTATCAGGCTTTGTGCTGGGCCTCAAGGATACAGCAGTGAGCAGGGCAGAAACAGGCCCTGCTCTCAGATTTAGCCTTTCTTTTATTCTGACGAAACAAAGGAAAACTGAACATAATAAACATCCTTCTCATGATGCCTCACCTCTCTCCTTTGCTTTGTTAAGCTTTTCTAAGAACATTTTTTGTTCTCATTCTTTTGACTGTCTTTCCTTGTGTTCATTCTTTGTAATTTGGCTTCTGCTTCCACCTCAACAATGGGCTCACCTCAAGGCTACCACTGTGCTTCCAGTCATGCTCTCTGGACACCCTAGCATTTGACACTGCTGACCACAGCTTTTAGAAACTCCATATTCCAGGGGCGCCTGGGTGGCTCAGTTGATTGAACGACTGACTCTTGATTTCTGCTCACGTCATGATCTCAGTGTCCTGGGATGGAGTCCTGTGTTATCCTCTGTGCTCAGTGGGGAGTCTGCTTGGGATTCTCTTTCTCGCTCTTCCCCTCCCCACCAAATAAATAAATAAATAAATCTTAAAAAAAAAAAAAGAAAAGAAACTGCACATTCTTCATTTTCATGATGTCTCCTCTTCCTAGTTTTCCCCTCTGACTTCTCCCTCTCTCTCTCTGCTTTCTTCCGTCCCTTCCTCCAAATGTCCCTTGTGCTTTTTCTCATCTCTTTTCTTTTTTGTCTGTACCTGCTTTACTTTGGTAACCTCTGCTCCCACATTTTCTTTTTTTTTAATTCAATTAATTAACATGTAGTGCATTATTAGTTTCAGAAGTAGAGTTCAGTGATTCATCAGTTGCATAGAACACCCAGTGCTCATGACATCATATGCCCTCCTGAATGTCCCTCATCCAGTAACCTCATCCTTCCCCTCCCCTCCAGCAACCCTCAGTTTGTTTCCTGTGATTCAGACTCTCTTATGAATTATCTCACTCTCTGATTTCATCCTGTTTCACTCTTCCCTCCCTTCCCCTAGGCATCTCTGTTTATTAAATTCCACGTATGAATGAGAACATATGATAATTGTCTTTCTCTGATTGACTTATTTTGCTTAGCGTAATACCCTCTAGTTCCATCCACATCGTTGCAAATGGCAAGATTTCATTTTTTTGATGGCCGAGTAATATTCCATTGTATATAGATACTACATCTTCTTTACCCATTCATTGGTCATTGGGCATCTGGGCTCTTTCCATAGTTTGACTATCATGGACATTGCTGCTATAAACATTGGGGTGCAGGTGCCACTTCAGATCACTACATTTGTTCTTTGAGGTAAATACCCAGTAGCGCAATTGCTCTAGGGTAGCTCTATTTTCAACTTTTTGAGGAACCTCCATACTGTTTTCCACAGTGGCTGCACCAGTTTGCATTCCCACCAATGATGTAAAAGGATTCCCCTTTCTCCGCATCCTCACCAACATCTTTCGTTTCCTGCGTGCTCCCACATTTTCAAGTGTTAATTCATTCAACAAATATTCGAGAGCCTGCTGTGTGCTAAACACTGTTCTAAGTGCTTCGGGGATAGCAGCGAATTAGACAGGCAAGAACACCTGATCTCATGGAGCTTCTGTTCTAGTGCGGGGGAATACAGGAAATGAATAATAAAGTCAGTACATTATATACCACCCAGTATCACACTATCTAAATTCTCCCTGTGAGAACTCAGGAGCTGAATTGATTTGGGTTAATTTTTGGATAAATCTTTTGGTCTATGAACTTTCCCTGTGTGTTATCCAAAGCTCAGGAATCAGTTAGATCTGGGTAATGTATTTTACTTTGCTACCAGCTCCCTTTCACTCCAAACTTGGAGACCAAATACATTTGGGTATGATAGGGTAGATGGTGAGCAAACTAATGAGACAAAAATACATAAATGAAATACATCAGGGAAAGGAGTGCATGTAGGACTGTTGGGGCTGGGCTGGGGTTTTGGTTTCCAGTGGAGAGTGGCCATGGAGGTCCCATCTGAGAAAGGCGAGGCAGTGCAGATATAGGGGAAGAGCATAGTAGGTCAAGTCGCTCTCATATTCCAAATTTCTGCCACCTCTCCTTCTGTTGTCACGTCTCTCTGACTACAGCTGGAAAGGACTCATGATTAGATGGGAGCCACCTGGGTAAGACAGGGCAGTCTCCCCATCTCAAGGTCCTCAACCCCTGTCACATCTACAAAGCCCCACAACCACATAAGGTAAGATAGCCACAGACTGCAGGCATTGGGGTATGGACATCTTTGGAGGCTGTTCTGCCTTCCATACAGTCTCATTCCCAAGCATTTCAAGTGGCTTTCCGGCATTCTGCTTTCTTTCCTCCAAGATGTGATTCCCCTCCCATCTAATCTTTCACTATTCCCCTTTTGTGGTCTAGGCTCTAGTCACATCCGTTCAACAGTTTTCCTACTCCACGTGCCTTTTGGCATATTGTTTCCTCTGTCTAGAACGCCAGCTCTGCATCCCCCACCTTTCTCCTCCTATCACCTTTTCCTTCTCCCTGCCCATCAGTGGGTCCACCTTTATACCCATAGCCACCGGACACCAGCCAATGAACATTTACTGACCACCCCCCCCATTAGATAGTAGATACTGGGGATGTAGAAGGGAAGAAGATAAGGTTCCTGTTTTTGACTAGCTAATAGTTTATGGGGGGCTAGGGAAACACTATGCAGAGAATATTATGGAAGCCCAGGGGATGGGTCAGTCTTACAGGCTTTTTGTGATCTGCCTTCCATTTGCTATTCTTCGTCTTGCTGTTGAAACCCCTTACCACTTGTTTGTACTTCTTGAGGCACTTAACTATATCTTGCCATGTATTTTGTGCAGCTGAATGTTTGACTTTGTGTGTAGAATGTAAGAGCTATGAGGAGAGCCTTCGTGTCTCTTTATTTACTGTATCCCAGCCAGTAGAAGGGCCTTTGGCACTCAGTTAATTTTATTTCATTCGAAATTGGTTTGAATTCCCACGATTATACTGGCAACGTTTGGAGTGCCAGCACTGTTTGGAGTGTGGGTGTTCTGCAGTGCCAAGCCGGTGACCTACAGGCAGCAGTAGAACTACCGCGTTTCTGACTTCTTTTCTTGAACTTTTCCTCAACAGAGAACTTAGGCCATGGGATTTTCACGTACATGTCAGCAGTGTGCTGGCTCTTCGGGCGCCACCTGTATGACATCCTGCAATACCCCATCGGGCTGATGTCCTCCTCATGGGGTGGGACACCCATTGAAGCGTGGTCTTCTGGAAGGCCTCTGAGAGCCTGTGGTGTTCCAGTGCGAGGGTAAGAAAGTATCCTGAAGTCCGGGAGAAAGATCCAGGAAATTTTATAAGAAAGAAGGACAATAGTTTTCTCGGGAGAATCAAGGATTTGCTGAATGTCCAAATAGGTATTGAATGTACATAACTTATTCCATGAACACGTCAGGTGTTTTTCTCACTGTCCTTGGCACCAGCCTCATCTGAGGATATGTCAGGAAGCCATGACGATCCTTTTCCTTAATAGCTAATACTTACTGAACGCTTTCTCTATGTCGGATACTGTTGTAATCACTTTCTATGCATTAACTCGCTTAATACTCCCGACAGCCTCTAGAAGTGTGGATACTATTAACCTAAATCATATGTGAATAAAGTTGCCGCGTCTCAGGTTTAGTAACTCGCTCATGGGTACAACTGGCAAGGGGCAAAGTCTGGCTTCAGTGTCTGTGCTCTCAGCCACTGTGCTGTATTGCCCATAAGAACAAAGAGTCTAATAGGAGAAACGAATATACATGTGATCAAAGAAATTTATTTGATTATGAAATACTTATGATGAAAACACCATCAGGAAAAGCAGGATCCAGAAGAAGATATGGAGTTGGGGAGAAAGGAGTAGTTAATAAAATCCTGACACTGATATTAACACAGAGATTTACAGGATGTGAAATGCTTTCTCAGACATTGTTTCATTCATTCTGGGAAGGCCCCCGGGGAGAGGATGGACTTGAGCTCTTGGTGTAGCTCAGGTAAAGACACACCTGTAGGGGAGGGAGGACAGTAAGCTTTGGAACTGAGAGAATGGGAGGGATCTCAAGCCAGGCTTCCCAGATCCCTGGGGACAGGAAGGCACTCCACCGACTGTGCGGGGAAGTGGGCATTATTCTCATATACAGCTGCCATGAGTATAAACTCATCTATGTATTTTACAGAGAAATTTAAGAATGTGTTCAAAGCCTTGAAAAAATATGCCCTTTGACCCAGGAATTTCACTTCTGGGAATTTATCTTAAGGACATAATTAAGCCTCTGTGCAGTAATTTTAGCTATAAGGAAGATCAGAAGAAAAATTAATCCAAGTGTCCATCCACTGAATGCTGGTTGGATAAAATGTCTGCATGAGACACTCATAATAAAACACTCCTCCTCTCTGGTCTTAGTAACCTTATCTGGAAACTGGGATGGCCCCCTCTGGACTCATGGAAAGCTGACTGATACACTATCCCAGGGAGAACCTGGATAGATATGAAAGTTGGAGGCTGTTCACATGGGAAATAGAGTGGTTCAGTCTGATTCTGTGTGGTTTCATGAGAGGTTCACCCCAAGTGAAAGCTGGATAGACACAAGTTTCGGGATCATCATGTGATCGGTCACTAGCGCTCTCGTGACACTTGTGGATCTTATCAATTGCAGGTTCACTCAGTCTGATTCTGTGACGGGTCCCAGTAAGCACTCTGTTCTCTGGAATGCCATGATCCACCCACTGCATAACATGACTCTGAAAGGGGTGATATGGTACCAGGGTGAGTGCTCATTCTGCTGTCTCTCCATTGTATCAGTTAGCTTCTGCTGCATAACAAAGCACCCCAGCACTGAGTGACTTAGACAATAATAATTTTATTTGGCTCACCATTCACTGGGTTATTTGGGTAGTTTTCCTGTACAGACTGCTTTGGTTAATTTCTGTTGGGATGTCTGATGTGTCTTTGGCCACCTGGCAGGTGTCTGATGGCTGGATGACCTAGGATGGCTTCTCCTTCCTGTCTGTCTTTTGAGACCAAGGTCTGGGGCACCATGGTCTCAAGTGGCCTCTCAGCCTTGAGCAAATTAGTTTAGACTTCGTTATCATTGACATTGCAGTGTCAGGGTTCCCCATGCATCAAGAGAGAGAGAAACCCAAAGCTGAAATACTTTTTAAGCCTCTGCTTGCAGCCTGTTTGCTAAGGCCCTCTTGGCCAGTCCAGAAGGACTGCAGGAAGGCCCACTCCCTAAGGGCATGGATAGACGTTGGGGAGCAATGCGTGGCCGTGTCTGCACCCACCCTAAGCCCCTCTCACAATCTGGACTGTTTTTAGGGGAGTCCAATGTGGATTTTAACAGGGACCTGTACAATTGCACATTCCCTGCGCTCATTGAAGACTGGCGCCAGACCTTCCACCGGGGGTCCCAGGGGCAGACAGAGCGTTTCTTCCCATTTGGATTTGTCCAGGTATGTGTTGAGGGAAGGAAGGTTTGGGCATCGGTGTGGGGGTGTGCTGTGGAGGTCTCTTTTCTGGGATCCATATTCCTTTTTTTGCCCTCATTGTCTGGTCAAGAAATGAGTGTAAGACTTAATTCATTTTAGTTCACAGATGGGCAAGTGCATCTGCAACATAAGGTTAATAAGTGATTAATACTTATTAAAAAAGGTATATATGTGCATTAAAGCTATTTAAAAGTAAGCAAAAAAGAAGCTGAAACATTTTTTGGTCACTCAACCTCCACTTTATTTTATTTTTATCTTTTTTTTATTATTATGTTCAATTAACCAACATATAGAACATTTTTTTTTTTAAGATTTTATTTATTTATTTGACAGACAGAGATCACAAGCAGGCAGAGAGAGAGATAGAGGTGGGGAAAGCAGGATCCACGCTGAGCAAAGAGTCCAATGCAGGGCTCGATCCCAGGACCCTGGGATCATGACCTGAGCTGAAGGCAGAGGCTTAACCCACTGAGCCCCCCAGGTTCCCCTCAATTAACCAACATATAGTACATCATGTTTTTGATGTAGTGTTCAGTGGTTCATCAGTTGCATATACATTTCTAATTCCCCAATCCTGACATAGGCAGACCTCTTCTGCTCATGTGTTTTTGCAATGAGATCCACACCATAACATTGTACCATAGCTTGCTTCTGCCTTAATGTTATATTGTGAGCAGTTTTTCGTGCCAGTTAATATTAATCTTAAGCACAACTTGTAATAATTGCAGAGTACTTTGAAATACAGCTGTATTCTAATTTATTTAACTAGTTCTCAATAAATGGACCCTTAGGTTGCTTTAAACATCTTGCTTTTAAAAGCAGCAGCATGCTTATTTTCCTTGTGGCTAAATCATTGCATACGTACTTAATTCTTTCCATAAGATAAATTACCAGAAATGAAATTGCTAGGTCAAGTTGAACGTTTTTTAAGGTGATGAACATGTCCTCAAGTTTCTTTGTAGAAGTGTATAAATTTGGATTAATTTTATACTCTCAGCAGGTATGTGTGAGAATGTCCACTTCCCCACAGCCTCCCTAACCAGTGTTGCCCCTTCCCCACCAACAGCGAAGTTTTGCTCTCTCACTGCCCGCCCACTGCTCGTGCTCTTTGCTTGGAGCAACCTTCCTCTCCCACACTTTCCTAGCCAACTTCATGCCTCAGAGCTCAGCCTGGGTATCAGGTTAGGAAGCTTTCTGTGAGTTTTTAGCATCTGGGGTACTTAGTACCCTCTCCTTCCCCATGTTACTTTCATGTCAGTTGCACACATGACCAACTTTTCCTGGATCACGTTTGCGTCCCAGTACCTTACTGGTTGGCAGTCCATTAAATACGGCTAACACATGAATGAAAAAAAATGTCAAGAGAAATCATACTTTTAATTAGTGGCAACTAGTTAGAAAGATTCTGCTCTCCTCTTGCTGAAAAGGAAGAAATATATTTAACCAAGTTCATAATGGTGTCGCCTTACCTGTTCCTTTGGCCCCTCCAAAACATAGACATCTTAGCAGGGTGGTCATTCTGACTTGCCTGGAATATAGGAAATAAAACAAGTAAGGTGTTGGAAAAGCGGGGCCCAACTCACAGTGTGATAATGGAATAGGCTTTAATATTTGAATCAGACACACGTGCGTCCAGCTGTCTGGCTCTGCACGGCCCCCAGATCCCTTGCGCTCGCCGTCCTCACATTTCCCCCACCCTGTCCTATTTCACCATACCTTTTTTTGGATAAAGATTTTTATAGACTTTCTTTCCACTTATAATTACTTTACAACCATGTTCTTTCTCCTTTCTCACATTTGTTTTGACTTCAAAACAAGATGATTCTACTCATTATTATCAAAATAGCAAGCCCTGTCATCAGCTCTGTGTTTCTGTTGGTGGAAACTCCATTTGGACTTTTGAGGTTCTTTTTTTGTCTTTGCTGTGTAGATGGTGATTTGAATGTGACTTCAGCCAATTCCAGCCATGCGTCGTATGCTTATTATACGCCATGAACTGTGTAAGGTGCTAGAAATAGAGCGTGAATCAGAGAGACCTGGTCCTTGCACTCAGGCCTTTCTGTTTCATGAGACTAAGTCCCTAAGTCTCCTGGCTTTAGCTGACCATCATCGACAAAAATCTGTTGGTTGCTTGTGGAAAGCTGAGAATGCAAACATATACCTTCAAGGGGACATATCAAACATGACAAAATAGTGGTTCAGCACGTGGATGTGGAGCTAGTCTGCCTGGATTAAAATCCAGCTCTGATTCCAGCCATGTGATTTTTTTATATTTATATGTAAATATAAAAAATATATTTAAATATAAATTTTTAAAATATTTAAATATATTTTTATATTATATTTAAATATAAAATATTTAAATTAAATATTTTAAAATATTTTAAATATAAACTTAAAAATATATAAAAATAATTTAACTTATTTGACAGAGAGCAGAAGCTGGGGAGCAGGTGAGGGAGAAGCGGGCTCCCCACTGACCAGGGAGCCCGATGTGGGGCTCCATCCCAGGACCCTGGGGTCATGACCTGAGCTGAAGGCAGAGGCTTAACCCACTGAGCTACCCAGGCACCCCTGAAATATTGTTTTTATTATTATCTTTATTATTTTAGATATTAGGTGAGTTAATCCATATAAAACCTGGCCCATGCCAGGTAATGTTAGTCTTAATTATTATCAATGTGAGAAGTCAGAACCCCTGGAGGGACAGTTGGTCTGTGAGGAAAGATGAGTTTATAGCGGTGTTGAGTTTGAAATGATGGTGGCAATAGCTAGAGAGACGTTAGAGAGGGAGGACTGGAGCTCAGTGGAATTAGATACGTGTGTGCGAGAGGTAGTAGGAAGGTGATCTGGAGCGTGGGAGGAAAGGAAGACCAGGAGGCTAGGAAGTCCGTGGGAGTATGCTTTTGTACGAAGGGTCTGGAGGAACGGTGGAGTGGACTGCAAAGTGCAGTATGCTGTTGTAAAGTGCCCTGAGTGTGGCCACTCTATTATTCTGTGGCCAATCATATGCCTTCATTAGGAGCAGTATTTCTACTCATTGCTACTGGAGGCTGAACAGCACCCTAGTAGATCTCAGATCAGGGAAAACAAGAATTTCTTTTGGATATGGAGTGTGCTGGTGCCTCCGTGTGGCCGCTTTGGAGTACAGCAAGCCACGAAAGGGGCCTCCCTGCTGCCATTTTGAAACAACTTCCTGGGCTGCCGTGGCTGCATTTAGCATTTCTCTCTCTCGTGCTTCAGGCTAGTACTTACCCTAGACTCTTTCTGGTAGCTTTGTTGCCGTGATCCTCATCATGACACTGGCTGGTGACCACGGTTCTGCTCTGAGTCTTCTGGGGGTGGTGTGGGAAGGAGTAGGGTCACTCACTGTGTCTTCTCACCAAGTTCCTTTATGAAGCTTCAGCAGCTTTTATCATTTCAGATGTTCAAGCAGATTTGCCTAAGAGATTTTTTTAATAAGAGAACTGGAAGTGTCCCCTTAGTTCAAGATCGTGTCCTTTCTTCTACCACTGCAACCTCTCCAGTGTTTTCCTGAGGATTTTCTAGAAGGTCAAGAAGCAGAACACTTCCTGTGCTCAAAGCTCCATTTGGCCACATTTGTCGGGATGATCTCAGCTATTTGCTGGCTCTGAGAGTGAGAAGGCTGGGGGAGCAGTCTCTTCATGACGTAGCTCCCCTGATGGGGACAGAAATTTGCAAATGGCGTCCAAAGATAGTGTGGTTGCTCCGCCAGACCGTTTTCCGCCAGACCGTTTTCCAGCTTGTGGCCTGACTGCCTGTTAGATCATGGCTGTGAAAGAGGGGTGGTGGGTTGATGCCTCTCACTGGCTGGACGGGGGCTAAGAATAAGGTGTGGTCTAATTCAGAGAACAGGGTGATATAAATATCAGAGAAGTGAGGAAGGAAGGGTTGGGGCCACATGCGTCTGAGTAATATTTTTAAAGAATTTTCCCAGGAGCTCTGTCCTCTGTAGGAGTAGGAGTCTGTCGACTTTAAGTTGAGATGAAAGCGTTTACTCAGGATGTTACAGAGTCAGACGCCCTTTTACTGCCTTTACTGCTCCTACACTAGTCTGAGGTGCCATCATCTCTCCCTTGAACTCTTGCCTCCTTCCTGGTCTTCTTGCTTCTACCTTGTCTCCCCTTTACGATAGTCCCATCATTTCAGTTAAAGCCATCCTTTGAAATGTAAGCTGCATCAGAAGGCTCCAGTGGTTCCGCCACGCAAGCAAGGTCAGCAAAGCGACAGGCGGTCTGTCCCTGCCGCCACTGCCCGTCTGCCCTCACGCCCTAACTCTCTTTGCCTCACTTGCTCCACGTCAGCTGCACTGGCTGCCTTAGTCTTCCAGCACACGAGGCATACTCGGCCCTAGGGGCGGCCATTTTCCTTTCCTTCTGCCTGGAAAGTTCTTTCCCTGGTATGTTAGTCTGTTGCTGCATAAAAAATTTCTGCATATTTAGCAGCTTAAAACAATGCTACACACATTTCTTATCTCACAGTTTGTGTGGGCGAGGAGTCTGGCATGCCTGGCTTAGCTGAGTCCTCCTCTCGGGGCTGCAGTGAAGGTGTTGGACAGAGCTGGGGTCTCAGCTGAGGCTTGGGGTTATCTTCCAAGCTTAGGTGGCTGTTGGTAGAATTCGTTTCCTTGAAGCTGTAGAACTCAGGGCAGCTGACTTCTTGAAGGCCAGCAGGAGAGAGTCTCAGACTTCTCTTCTCAGACTTCCCTTTTTTAAAGAATTTGCTGACTGAGTTGGGCTCTGCATCTCCTCTTCCTTTGGTTATCTTGAAGTCAGCTGATAAAGGGCCTTACCTACATCTGCAGAATCCCGAGATGGGTGTTCTTTCTCTGGGTCCCATCCCCTATCCAGGTGGTTGCCTGCTTCTGTCATTTTGTCTTTTAGGCTGTCTTATTCCTGCCTATCCCATTTCTGCTGCTCTCCTAGGTCAGGCCTTTTCTCTCCTGTGTCTAGAATGTTTTGGTAGCTTTTAAACCAGTTAGCCTCTCTGCTTTTGGGCTCTTTTCTTCACAGAATCATTTGCATGATCACTAGATGAATCCTTTGAAATAGTCCTTTTATCCTTTTCAGTGGCTCTCTAATTTCTAAATTAAGGTTAAATTCACACAGAGTTAACCATTTTAAAGCATTCAGTTCAGTGGCATTAGTATGTTCACAGTGTTCTGCAAACATCGCCTCCATAGTGATCCCCTGTTGCTTGTGGGAGAGTTAGAAACTCTATCCAAACACTTGCCTCACCGTCTTAACAACATTGTCTTTCCTACATAAACCCTTCGGTTCAGCTCGATTACTCTCTCTCTTGCTTTCAAAATTGCCTTTCTCTTTCTTGGGTTTGCATATTATAAGATTCTGACATATCCTGTTTGTAGTGACTACTCATATTTTCTGGGCCCATCCAAGGTTTTTTTTTGTTTTTGTTTTTGTTTTTTACATATTCTGAGGCCCTGTTGTCTTAGAATAATAAACTTTAATGTAAAGTATTTGCTGTCTGTGCCTCCATTGTAGCATTTAATTCATACTACTTTATATTACTGTTTATTAACATTTCTTATGTACAGGTCTGTCCCCTCAACAAAGCTGGGAAGTACTTGTACCAGTTAGCTATTGCTATGTAACGGATCGCCTCAAAACTCCATGGCTTAGCATAACATTTACTATAGCTCACATGTGTGGGTTGCTGGGGGGCTGATTGATCTTGGCTGAGGTACCACCGAACTCTTTCATATCTCTGTGGGTCAGTGGCAGGTGGGGGCTCTCACTTAGGCTTGGCTGGAGTGGGTTAGAGGAGGAGAGTCAGTCCCACGGCACTCTCCCCTCAGCAGAGAGCTGTGGGCTAGCCCAGGCATGTCATTCTCCCGGCAGCAGAAATGTGACACAGCAAGTGGAACCACACGGGTCTCTGGAGGCTGAGGCTAGGAACTGACGTGTCCTAACTTCTGTTTCAGTCTGTTGACCAAAGAAAACCACCTTAGAAAGTGGTGGGGAAACCCAGTCTTTCTTTTCCTGGGAGAAACCCCAAAGCCAGATGGCAGGAAGGTGTGGCTGTAGGAAGGGGGGAAGAATTGGGGTCTTTGCTGCAATTTACCACATGCTCACAGGCGCTTTCCTCTCAGGTTCCTTATAGCACTTGATCACGTTTTAGATCAATGTGTCAGTCACCTGTTGCTTTGTAACAAACAACGCCCAAACTTAGTGGCTTTAAAACGTCAGCCATGTATTTGCTCATGATGCTATGGGTGGGTCAGGCAGGGCTCAGCTGGGGCGGCTCGCCTCTGCTCCATGTGATGTCAGCCTGGCTTGCTCCTGTGGCTGCAGTTTGAACTGAAGGCTCGAGCGTTCACGTGACTGTCCCCTCTGCTGAGCCCACAGGGTCATTAACCCCTCTCCCTCCTAAGGATCTTCCGATGTCCAAGGCCCCCGTCTCCATGTAGTTTCTCCAGCAGCACAGCTGGACTGTTTTTACCTGGCCGTCCCCAGGTGCCAGGAGAATGAAATCAGAAGGCAAGGGCACTCGGGACAATGGCTCAGAGGCCGAGGGTGACTTCTGCTGCATTCTGCTGGGTGGAGAATATCACAGGCTCAGCCCAGATTCAGTGGGAAGAGAAATAGGCTCTGCCTCTTGATGGGTGGGACAGCACAGACACACTGGGGTGTCGGGTGGGAGGTATTCAGCCACAATGGTAAGAAGCTCACTAAGTACTTGTTGGATGAGCATTTGAATGAATGAATGAAGCAGAAGCAGAGTCTGCTTATGAAGAAGACTCTAGGACAGGATTCTGATGCAACATTCTCTGCTTTCTAGTTATCTTCATATCTTTCTGCAACCTCGGATAACACATTCCCCCAGATCCGTTGGCATCAAACAGCAGACTTCGGCTATGTCCCCAACGCAAGGATGCCCAACACTTTCATGGCAGTAGCAATGGATCTCTGTGATAGGAAGTCACCTTTTGGCAGGTACGGGTGCTTCTTGGGCTTTGTTTGAACAATACTCCCTGTTCTTTGTCTGTGGCCTTCACTCTGACGTTCACTTATGAGGGGGCAAAGAGTGGGTGCTGTAAGGACTGGACCTTAGGGGCATTATCTGTTCATCATTTACACTGGCATGGGCTGCAGTAACTAAAGCCCTCCACGTCTCAGTGCCTGGTGCAAGGACATTTTATTTCTTGTTCACACCACGTGTCTGAAGAAGGTCAACGGAGGTCATCGGAGAGGCTTTGCTGGTTAGAGTCATCCACAGATCCAGAGTGACAGATTCCAAGTTGATCTGGGTTTCCAGGCACCTTAAAGTCTCCCCCTGGTGGTGAAAAGTAGCTTTTGCTCATATCGCATTGGCCAGAGCCGGTCATCTGGCTTTGCCAGGCTTCAAGCTTCTGGCTTGGGGCGAGCAGGAAGTGGACTTCTTCCCTGAACTCAGAGGGGCAGTGACGGGATATCTGTGAATGGCTCCAGTGACTACCACATGCTAGCTGTGGGATACAGGAGGATCTGAAGTGAAATGGGGCCCAACTCATAGTGTCTGACTTATAGTAACAAGTATTTATTATTTTATTTTATTTTTTAAAGATTTTATTTATTTATTTGACAGAGAGAGATCACAAGTAGGCAGAGAGGCAGGAAGAGAGAGAGAGAGAGGGGTAAGCAGGCTCCCTGCGGAGCAGAGAGCCCAATGTGGGACTCGATCCCAGGGCCCTGAGATCATGACCTGAGCCAAAGGCAGAGGCTTAACCCACTGAACCACCCAGGTGCCCCAAATATTTATTTTTGAACAAATGAAGATTGATTGATTGAATGAATAAAACCTGGAGGGGACTGAGTGATGAACGATGGATTCAGACGAAACACAGGACTTTCAGTGGCTAGAAGAATTTTGCGTCAGCTCTCCTACAGTGCCTTTCCTCCGTCCCTCGGGGACCTTTATTTCTTCCTTCTAAGTCACCTGCTTTTTCATGGTTTCTCACCCATAGGAGGCCCAGAGCCCCATTTATGGTCACAATTCACCATGTCTCCTAAACTGACGAGCCACTGGTCACTGGCTATTAGATTTAGTCATCTTCATTCTTATCTTCCTGAAGGGTGCTTTGTGTAATCCTTTTCTCTTTTTTCTTTTTTTTAAGTGTGGTTACTGTTGTGCTCAAGTTCTCTGCTTGTTCTTTCTCCTGTAGCATCCACCCTCGAGACAAACAGACAGTGGCCTACAGGCTGCACTTGGGGGCCCGAGCTGTGGCCTATGGTGAGAAGTTGATCTTTCAAGGACCACTGCCTGAGAACATGGAACTCCTGGCTGACAAGGGGCTGCTCAACCTCACATATTCACAGGAAATCCGGGTGCAGAGGCAGGACAAGATATTTGAGGTGAGAAGAATGTTGAAACAGTAGGGATTCATCCTGTGTCGGGAGTCAGGGTTTTCTCCACACCGAGGCCCATCTCTAACTGTAACATTTCTGTGAGGTAGAGCTTGGCTTTTAGTAGGGTGGAGTTTATCTCAGAGGAGTGACTGAGTAGCTATTAATTCTTTCACTTAGTGGTAATTTGATAGGACAGTCCAGGAAAAGAATTCACATTAAATATTTCTTTTGTATTTCTGCTCCCAGAGCAGCCATCTTTGCTCTGGTAAGGGCCTGGGGCTTTCTGTGGAGGTTACCTATTGAAAGATTCCTTACTCCTGAGTATTTCCCCCATCCTTGGATGTCTTTTTATAGCACACGATCCCACATTCTAATATATTTTTGAATTTAGTGTTTCCTTTGAGAGGCTTAGCTTGGGGGTTTGTAAGTCAGTGTGAATTAATGTAATGAAACTACTTTCTTCCAGTATCTAGCAAGGGTCATTCCACTGTGGAACGAGTGCAAATAATTAAAGAGCCTGTGTAGGGGTCTTCCATGGTTGGGGTTACAGGTCGAGGCATTCCTCTTGGAACATGGAGATGAGCGTCTCTGGGAACCTGAGGCCATCAGGCTGGATGGGGCGGGGGGAGCAGTGTATTAAGAGAGGGCACTGGAGGGAATGAAAGAACATGAAAGACCGACTTGAATTATACACTAGCTTATCTAGGGCTGTCCTCCTCTGGCATCCCAGCTGCAACACCCACTGGCCTCAGGTGCTTGGGCAGCACTTACCGCCCCTAGCTTCTCTGGACATTGGGGCTAAGGTAATTCTAGCTCTCCAGAAGTCTCCATGCTGAGTTCGGTTCTCCCCTGTAGTCAGAGGCTGGCAGTCTGCCTGTCATCTGGACCCAGAATCCTAGTTGGGAGCAGGACAGAATTTCATCTATGGGTACTGGATAATTTATGTCCCCTTCCTTGGATTGTTTCTGGTTGGAGAGAGGCTTATTATCCAAGGTCCCTTTGTGCCCCTTCCTCATTCCCTAGCTCCTTTGGGCGGGCCAGAGTGCTTGCAGCAGCTGAACTGTTCCACGGGCTCAGTTCTGCCTGCTGTGCCTGCTGTGCCATCTGGTCAGACGTGGATGTTGCTAGGAGCCTTCTCTAAACGCTCTATGTGATGATGCCTCCTTGTCTCCCTGTCACTGAAGGGTTTATTGATTGATTGATTTGATCACATGAGCATTTCTCATCACACTATGGCTGTGTTGACCAAACCCAACCTGAACTCGGATTTGTTCTGGTTCTTGTAGGAAAGGCATCCTTGGCTATGTGTGGCTCCTTCTCTCCCTCCTAGTCTGTTTAATGAGGAGTTTCCAGTCTCTTGGAATGGCCTCACTGACCCAAGCATTGCGATGTTATCATTCTCTTGTTAGGTCTCATGTTGCCGTGACCGTCAGTGCAAGTGGCTCCCAGCTCCCATGGACGCTTTCTCAGCCCAGACGCTGGCCCTGAATATCCGTTCTTGCCGTGGCGTTCTGGCTGCTGTTCGCTACGCCTGGACCACCTGGCCTTGTGAATACAAGCAGTGCCCCCTGTACCACCCCAGCAGCACCCTGCCAGCCCCTCCCTTCATTGCATCTCTGACAGACCCAAGGCGGGGCAAGCACAGCGAGCTTGCTGAGTGACGTAGTGGCCTCATGACCCTCATCTTGGACTTAAGTGTGGGTTCTTGAGATTTGGGCATTTAGGTGTTGAAGTGATGACAACTAATGCTTTTAAAGGCAACTAATAGCAAAGCCGCCTGGCCAGCTCCCAGCCAGCACATGGTTGTTTCTAGATTCTGAATAGGAGACAAGCCAGCGCTGGCAGGCAAATGAGATGCTTGCCTTTTGTCCCCTAGACAGCCTAGTGTCTTACTGGACTAATTCCCAGCTACAAACAAATGGAGCCCGTGTCATTCGCTTGCCTTGTGGAGATCGTGCGGTGTCACACTTTTGTCACCTTACATACAGCTTTGGGTGGAAATACACGGCTGGAAGAGATTTCAAGGCTCATTATTTATGTGTTCTTTACAGGATCTGGTGAGTGGTTACTGAATCTCTGTACAAAGTTTCTAAACTTCCCAACAGTTTTTCCTTATGTAGAACTGAACTCTTTCTAGCCCTATTTGTGTTCTCGAAGCCAAAAACAGTTCTGTTCCTTCAGTCTAAATAATGATAATGTGACTGTCTGAAACCAACCAGCCCCGTGTGCAGGCATGTGGGATGGCGCAGAGGGGCTGCCTGAGGGAGGAGGAGATGGGGGCGTTGGTAGCGGCCCAGGAACGTATGTGGGCAGCCAGGGACGGGTGGGGGAGTCACAGGCTCAGGACATGACAACAGAGGTTCCTGAGAAGCAAGCAGGTTCAGTATAATCTCAGGCTTTTTAAGGTAAGAGGTTTACCTATAAAAAGGATAACCCAGATGGAAGAAAAAAGAGGCTGAAAATAAAGCTCCATGATAAGCATATAGAAAAATAATCCAGATGGGACAAATGTGAAAGCGCGCTCTGTATGGACTGTTAAGAATCATAATGCTATTTATTGGTTGATTAAAAACAGCCAGCAACTTGATAACTGTGTCATCTATTGGAATCTGGAAATAAAAATATAATCATTAGTGGCAATTTACAGCCCATCAAAACCAGGTTAGGAACAGGTTTGTAAATTGTCCTCTAAAGCATGAGTAGCTTCCTCTCCCTTAATGGGAAAAAGAACTAAAGCACGAAGCACCTGACCCCAGGGGGCCCCGGTGTAGCTCCGAGCATCCCCAAGTCAGTGCCAGGATTTATTTTGTAAAAAACCAATACAGCTACACAGTCTGCAAGAACTTTGGCTCCTCAGAGGGCTTCCTGGTGTACAGTTAACTCCCAACACCCATGCCTTGACCTCGTATGCATCTGACCTAAGGGGAACTACAAACCTAGGAACAGACTCCTGAGAAAAAGTAAATCTGCCTTCCCCTCTGCCAACACACATGCACACAGGCTTTTCTAATTTGCAGGTGGCTCGACATGGTCAGGACCCATACGCCCAGGCTCCTTCCTTCCCCAGTCACCAAGTGCAACACAGGGAGGAAATCAGCTTCAAGTAGTAGATAAATTAATGAGAAATCATGTGAAACTTCATTTTTAATGGCTGAATCATTTAAAGCATTCTGTGGGAATTCAGTTTATTTTCCAAATGAAAATAACTTTTTAGTATTTGAAAAATGAAGTTTATAATTACTGCAGATTTGGACACTAGAAAGAACAAACAAGTAAGAATCACCCCAAAAATTCATCATTTGGCAAAAAACATTTAATATTTTGGTAAACATTCACTTGATTTTCTTGGGTTATATTTTATACACTACGCATCATATTATAATCTGTTTTTGACTTACTCTAGTAAAATATTTTTCCTATGTAAATTGAGTATAACTTAAGTGTTTCAGTTTGTGGGAGCCCCCTACTTTAACCAATTTTCCATCAGTGGACATAGAGATTTCTTCCAGTCTTTCCCTGTTGTAACAAATACTGTGAGAATGTGCAGACATCATAGTGCACTTACCTTCTTGGGATTCTTAATGTGGAGTAACAGTTTTAAGGAAAATATGTTTAAAATTTTGATACTTAACAGCTTAATTCTCCTGAAGGGTCCAACAGTTTACAGCCCAAGGTATAGTGCCATTTAGCCTCACTCCCATTGACACTGGATATTGTCAAATTTAAACCTACTGGTGGGGGGATCAAGTTTTTAAAAATGATCTGCAGTAAAAACATTTTACATTTATTCCATGTACCCCTTTTGAATGTATTGATGTGATTTTTATATAAATACACATATACACACTATAGTTGAAACCCAAATTTCAACATTTTGACATGTGATGTCTTCTACTTAGTTCTAATTGTTTTATTTAATTTAAAAAATAGAGGTCTTGGCTCCCTAGGTTTAGGAGCAAACAATGGGTTGAGATCTGTATTTAGAACCACTCCTCTAGGAAAGTTACAAAGTAAATACTTAGATTAAAGCAAATAGCATGATAACTTATTAAAAAAAAAAGTCTTTCTTAAAGTGAGGGTCGCTTTTGAGGGGGTGCCCGCGTGGCTCAGTGGGTTAAGCCTCTGCCTTTGGCTCAACTCCTGGGTCCTGGGATGGAGCCCCGCATTGGGCTCTCTGCTCAGCAGGGAGTCTGCTTCCCCAGCACCCCCGCCTGCCTCTCTGCCTACTTGTGGTCTCTGTCAAATAAATAAATAAAATCTTAAAAAAAAAAAAAAGAAAAAAAAAAAGCGAGGCTCGCTTTTATGTGTTTTACTCCAACAGCACTACAAGGTGAAGATATTTGCTCTATGTAAAAGCAGCAGCTGTCATTTCTGTGGAAGTGCACATGTCCAGCCAACTTAGGCAGCGACAGAAGGAAAACATGAAAGCATTAACAGCTCTGAGTTCCCCTTTATACCTCTGGTTTGTTGTTACCCAAATTTTATCTTTTTACACTGTAAAAACTATACAAACTTATAAAAGGACTATAGGGAAGAGTCATAGAGTTAACAGAGGTTACTCTAGTTTCTGAGTTGCGTGGCCAGTGTGCTTTGCTCTCAACGTGGCTGTCCGTCTACTCCTGGGAAACAAGATCCCCCTTCTTCTTGTCCCCAGTCAGCAGCTAGGAACTGCAGCACAGTGACGCCTGTCACCACTCCTTTCCCGTTCTGCCCCTTCTGGGGTCCTTCCGTGGCTTCCTTCCAGCCGGCCCAGGTACCTGGTGGGGCGCATGGTTCCACTGTGGTCCAGGTCGGGTGAGGAGGGTTTGAAACCTCCCCCTCAGCCCCGTAAGCAAGGCCGACACGTTCGGATGCGTGGAATACAGTCATGTCATTAGCCGGCTAGTGAAGTGACGGGGTCAGCCTGTCGCGCGGATGGATGGGGGCTGGCCCCCGACACGATGTATCTGTGTGATCACGTGGACTCTGCGTTCAGCGACAAGCACATTCTCGGATAAAGAACACAAAAGTGGGCAGACAGGATTACTGAGGACCTTTTGATTCCCTTGAAGGATGTGGCGTGTGAAGAAAAAGATGAACGGCGGGCCTCGGCCTGGCCTCTCCAGCTTGGGGACAAGCAGCACTGATCTGTGAGCATACCGACATGAAAATAAGGCAGCTGCTTGGGTAGCAGGGGCCGGGACGTCGTTCCTGGAGCTAGGATCAGAATCCAGGAGGAAGGCTGTCAGACTCCTACCTCTCCCTCCTGAGTCAGCAGCCTTCTCTCACTCGGGCTCACAGAACACTAAGTTTACTCTACCTCAGGCAGAGCTAAGTGGGAAAAAAAAAAAAAATCCTGATTACAACAAGATGAAAATAAGCAGATTTGTAAAGAGAAATTTATTGCTAAAAATAAAGCAGCTGAAGTTTTTCCCAGGGAACACTGTCACCACAGGAGCCTCCATGACAAAATGTGCTATCTCGTCACTCCTGAAATGCGGTCTTCTTCCATATTCGGAATTTTACTTTAGTTAAATGACATGGTATGCGATCCCCTCCCGCTCAGTCTGAGGACGGAGTTGGGCTACACTGTGACAGAGGCTTCAGGCGCTGCAGGAGAGTGTCCACCAGGGGTTCGTGCGTCAGGAATACGGGTTGGTAAGAAGACACGAAGGGTGTGGGCTGAAGCTCTGGAAGGTCCAAGGATCCTGGAGAAGAAAATCCCTTCAGTTCCCTGCTGCCTGGGAATCTCAGTGGACTGCTCAGACACATGGATGTCCTTTCAATTCCCAACACCCTTACACCTGTCAGCCAAATCTTGCCCTTGTTTGGGAAGACACGACAGAAACTTGACTTTTACAATGAAGGAAACTGTGGCCAAAATAGATTCAGTGATTTGCCTCAGGTTATACAGTAAATTACAGAAAGAAAGAGAGAGAATTTGAATTCTATTATTTCTAGCACAGAGCTCTCCCTATAGGACCCAGTGCCAGATCCCTCATTGTTCCACCCATCGGCGGGGGGAATTGGGGGGAATCCACCAAACATAGGTGGGACCAAGGCCATGACCTGGTTTCCTCCACTTCCTTTGAAATTTTACACGGCAGACTCTCCCCTGGAGCTCTGCTTGGGTCTTACTCAGGTTAGGAAAAAAGCCTAATTTCTCTGCGGGCCCTGCCTCATCCTGATGGCAGCCACTCCGTGTGACTGCTGCCAGCACTGCCGGGGAGCCCGGCAGGCCAGCCCGTCCTCATGCCAGGACTCTGTGGTCGGGGCGGTGAAGTTTCTATCCCTTACTGCCCAGCAATTTACAGTACTCAACTCTGAATGAAGCATAGAGGTCAGCCTAGAGATAGTCCATTTTCAAACCAGAAAGGTAAAATTAAGATACCTGGCAGGATGGGATCACTGTGATCTTCACCAAAGGCCTGTCTCTGAAAGGCTTCGAAGCTTATAGCTGCATCAGTGTCTGGCAGTCCTTGCGGCGGCTGCCCGTCTCCGGGTTTCCACACCTCAAATTTCACCCACTGGTAACTGCAGGATCCAAGGGCATTGTCATAAGGGATGTCTGTGAGCCGTAACAGCCCATTCTTACTTCCAGAGATCGCTCCCATATGTATCTAAAAATCATATTAACAAAGTAAGAGAAGATCGGTGTCTGCAGGGACACATTCTCCTGCAGGACTTCCCAGTGCCTTTGCTGTCGTGGTACTCAGCAGAGAAAATGGTAACTCTGGTTCCGTGGGGTGCTGGCTCCCGCTCACCTGAGGCTGAGCGCCACCACTGAGGTACACTGGCTGAGCAGCAAGTGTGCTCTGCACACAGAAGCGGTTCAGTGAGCGTCAGAATGAGCAAAGCAGTAACTGCCGCTCACGGTGCTTCTCTCAAGAGAATGGATTTGACCACACTTACTTGACGCATTTTCGCGCTCCTGGACAGCTCTGGATCAGGTTGTGAATAGTCGGATGAGAAAACCCAAAAAAGTCAGCTCCAGAAGGAAGCAGGCTGGGCATTAGTTTCCCCCTAAATAGGAGAGGAACGATTTGTAGTTTACGAGGGGAGAGGGAGATGAGAATGGGTTTAGGACTGGGGTATGAATGTAGAGAACACACTTTCTTGACGTGGATACTCTGTGGTAAGAAACAGAA